CGTGCACGCACGCACGCGCGCACGCGCACACGCACACGCGCACGCGCACACGCACACGCACGCACGCACACACACACACAGACACACACACACACGCACACACACACACACACACACACACGCACACGTTCACGCACGCGCACACGCGCTCACGCACACGCACACGCACACACGCACACACGCTCTCTCCTTGGCCGTAGCTCCTGCCTTCTCGCTCCTCGCTCCTCGCTGACCGTTCCTCGCTTCTCCTATATCTCTCTTTCTGACCCTGGTTACTCCACTCTCCTCGATCCTCCCTCTTCGATCCACTCGCGATCAGCAGGTTGCGTCAGCTAGAGGGAGTACCGAGAAGCAGCCCCAGCAGCAGCACACAGCAACAGCCAGCAGCAGGCAGCAGCATGCAGCAGCATGCAGCAGCATGCAGCAGCATGCAGCAACATGCCGCAGGCAGCGGCACCCTGCAGCCGCAGGCAGCAATAGCAGAGGCGAAGTTCGGGCCCAAGGTCATCAGAACAGCCTGGCGGCGACATCTCTGCCTTGACCCAACGTGCAATCCCGGGCGGCAGATTCATTGACTTACGCCGCACTGCCGATTTCTTGGGAGCCCTGAGTGCAGGGGGGCGTTGTCGTAGAAGCGTCTTGGTGCCGTGCGATCTGGGAAAGCTAACACCGTGCTCAAAAGTGCCGCTGTTGGTTAGTTCTGGAGCCTCTTGCGTGCCTCTGGGCTTCTTGGGGGCCTCTTGGGGGCCTCTTGGGGCTCTCTTGGGGCATGTTGGGGAGCATGGGGCCCATCTTGTGGGGGAGGTTTCCCTGGGCCTTTCGAGCTCCCCTGGGGGCTCCCCCTGGAGCCCTCATGGGGGTCTCTTGGGCAGTCTTGGGGCCCCTTGGGCAATCTGTGGGCCCTCTTCGGGGCCTTGTGGCTGTCTTGGGGCGATCTTGGGGGCCCCTTTGGTTTGTCTTACGCACCCTTAGCGAAAAAGGCGAGTAAGCCATATGTTTCAAAAGAAGCCGAAAGGAAGTCAGCTCTGTTTGCCTCTTGGCGCCCTCTTGGAGGTCCTCTCATGGGGCTTTTTTGGGGTCATCTTGGGAGCGGCCATCTGGGGCCCTCTTGGATCCATGTTTGGCCTTCCTGGAGCGCTTGTGGACCATCATATGGGGCCGAAGATTGCCCTACATGCCCCGATCACGACCCCAGACGCAGGGGGACATATGGGAGGCCTTCCAGGATAAACAGCAATGATTCCCACTGGTTTCAGGCGATCGTGGGCATGGATTAAGGGGGCGTGGATTAGCGACGGGCCCCGCTTCCCTGGGAAAGCGCGGATTTCCGCCGTCGAGCGAGGTGGCACCGGCCGCATGTTGGGGAGGGCACTTTCCCATGATCCATGGAGTTGGCGACCGCACGCCAGAATCCATGGATCGCTAGTCCATGTTGGCGCGCCCCCGAAGGCAGCACTGATCCCCCACGGGTTTTCTCATGGTCTCGTCCTGCTCTCCCCCCGTTTCGGCCCTCAGGACGCCCTGGGACGGTCCTCGACGCCCTCCAGACGTCGACCTCAGACGGCCCCAACAGGCCCCGGAGTGGCCCCAGAAGCCTCTGCGAAACATGGCGCAAGCTTTGCCGACACCCCCCCTCGCCCCCGATGCCAATGTCCAGTGGCGGGCGCGGCGCGGTGCGCGGGCGCCGATAGAAAGGCCGAAGTCACGCGTGTCGGCATCTTAGCTGCCTTTGATACGCCCGTTTTGATACGCAGCACGTACCGTGCTCAAAGCGTGCGTGTCAATACGTTGCGGGTTGGCTCCGCGTATCGGCCCACGTTTTGGCGAACGTACAGCGTCACACCTACGTTTTCGGTCCACGTGTTGCGCTCCGTATTAATACACCTTAGGCGATGCTTAAGAAAACTTAAGTTTTCGGCCAGAGTCTCGATTATTCTTAATTTTTCAATGAAAATCCTAAGATTTTAATGGAAATGTTGGGTTTTTACTCAAGTTCTGAGACTATGAATTTCTTAACCCATGATTTCTTAAGCATTTCGCAGGGTGTACGCTACGTGTTGCGTATTGCGTATCTGCGCAGCTAAGGTCGGCATCAACATTGAAATTTGGGGTTCTGGGCGCGCCGACGTGGCGCGAGAAAGTCTGCGTTCAGTTTCCCGGGGGGGCGGCTGCCAGCGGCCCCAAGGCGAGCCCAGGGCGGCCCAGGAGTTCACATAGACCCTGGACGACGGCCCCGCGCACCGAGCGTCTCCGGGCCTCCTCCCTCCCCAGAAACAAATCCTGGTGGCCCCAAGGGCCGCCCAGACGGCTCCAGGAGGCCTTGGAGGGCCCCACGGGAGCCAAGGAGCTCCAGGGAGCGCCCCAGGAAGCTTTCGCGAGACCCCCAGGAGGCCCCCGAGAGACATCCCGAGAGGCCTCCCCTCACGAGGCCCCAAGAGACCCCCAGGAGGTCCCTCCGCTTGCGCCTCCTCCCCCTTTGGCTGTCCCTCCTCCCTCCTCGCCCCTCTGTCCTCGGCCGTCGCCCTTCCATCCTCGCACTTTGCTCCTCGCTCCGCGCTTCTTCCTCCTCCCTCGTCGATCCTCTCGATCCTGACTCCTCGATCCTCTCTTGGCAACAGGCTGTGCCAACAAAAGCTGGGGTAGTGAGAAGCAGCACCCTGCATCATAAGTCAACAGCAGCGAAGGGCAACAGCAAGAAAGCATAAACAAACAACAGCAGCGAACTGCAGCAGCAAGAGGCAAGAAGCAGGCAGGACCAGTGGCACCACACAGCAGCCACACTCAGCGGCAGGCAGCGGGCAGCAGTATGCACCAAGCAGAGCTGGCCACAAGCAGCACCCTGCAGCCACAAACAGCAATAGCACGCAGCAGAGGCAACCATTACCGACGGCAAGCGACAGCGGCATCAAGCAGCAGCATGCAGCAGCATGCGCGGAATACGAGGGTCGCGCTCCACGCTATCATCCCAGCCTTTCGATAAACATGCCAAAATCACGTGCCAGTTCGTGCAGATTTGGGAGACGTGGTCCACGGGTCAGCCCCAGTCTCTCCTACAAGACCATCAGCTACAGTGCTGGGGTCAGCGCGTGCGAGAAGGGCGAGCAGTGGCATCGGGCCCTGTCGCTGCTCAGCGAGATGCGGGAGGCGAAGCCGAAGCCCAACGTCATCTGCTACAACGCTGGAATCAGCGCGTGCGAGAAAAGCGATCAGTGGGAATGGGCTCTATCCCTGTTCATTGAAATGCGGGAATCTAGGCTGGAGCCCGATGTAATCAGCTACGGCGCTGGAATCAGCGCGTGCGAGAAAGGCGATGAGTGGCAGCGGGCCCTTTCGCTGCTCAGCGAGATGCGGGAAGTGAAGGTGGAGCGCAATGTCATTTGCTATAACGCTGGAATCAGCGCGTGTGAGAAAAGCAAGCAGTGGCAGCAGGCTCTTTCGCTTCTCATCGATATGCGGGAAGCTAGGTTGGAGCCCGATGTCATCAGTTACAATGCAGGGGCCAGCGCGTGCGAGAAAGGGAAGCAGTGGCAGCGGGCTCTGGCGCTGCTCAGCGAGATGCGGGATTTTGGGTTGGAGCCCAATGTCATCAGCTATAGCGCTGGGATCAGGGCCTGCGAGGTCAGTGAGTTGTGGACCAAGGCTCTTGACCTGCTCGAGTCGATGCTGAGTGCCCGTGTGGACCCTGCTGCTGCCGATAGCCCGGACTCAGGCCTGTACGTGCACAACGTCGAGGCAGGCGGCCCCAAGGACGTGTTCAAACACCTGGTTCTCGTGGCCCTGCTGCAGCAGATGGCGGCGGAGGCAGACCCTTTTACCTTTATTGACATGCACGCTGCTTCTGGTGTCTACGACCTCAGCTCCGAGGAGCCGCTCCAGTTCCGGATGGCTGAGAAGGGCGTGCTCCGGCTGTCGCTCGCAAGCGACCGCTGCGGCGAGGGTCTGGTTGCGGACTACCTGGCCGCGGTGTGGAGGTGCAACCAGGCCTTGGGCTCTTCCTCGCGCGCCCTGGCCTTCTACCCAGGGTCGCCTGCGCTGGCGTGGCAGTGGCTGAGGTCACAGGACACCGCCGTGCTCTTCGAGGCCGCCGCCGAGCCCTACGAGGCCCTGAGGCAGAGTTTTTCGTTGTTGGGCCGAGGGCCAGGTTGCCGCCTCGAGCTGCTGCACGACGACTCCTACCTGCGGGTCGCCTCTGGGCCCTGGCCCTGGCCCGGCGGGCGGCAGCTGGTGCTCCTGGACCCGCCGTACGATTCCCTCCAGTCCCAGAACACGCGGAACGTGTTCGTCCTCCGGCGCCTGCTCCAGAGGTCGCCCTCCAGCTGCGTGGCCCTGTGGTACCCGCTGGTAGACGCGGAGAAGACGGCGGGCCTGCACCGCCGGGTCCAGAGCCTCGAGGTCGGCAGCGTGCTCGTGGCCGAGATGTGGCTCGGGGGTTCGTGGCCGCGTGGCGAGGCCCTGCAGGGATCGGGGGTGCTGGTCGTGAACCCGCCCCCTGCCGTCCACGCGCAGCTCCTCGCGGCGCTGCCGGGGCTCCAGGGGGCGCTGCGGGCCGCGGGCTCCCGGGTGCTGTGGCTGTGAGGCCGAGGCCTCGTCGTCGCCCCAGCGTGCGCTGGATTTTGCAGCGCGATCGCCTTCGACACCACCGTGACTGCTCCTGGGCTGGACGAGACCAAGCCACCACCTCGGCCCCACAGGGCGTGAGCGAGTACTACTCAACAGCTTTCGTGGGTGTGGGCGCGCTTGTCTTCCGCACCCTTGCACGGCGTTGGAGGTCGGAGCACCGTGACTTCTCCTGCGCTGGACGAGACGGAGTGCGCGCCCAAACCACCACCTCGGCCCCACAGGGCTTGAGCGAGTACGTCGAAACAGCTTTCAGGGTCGTAAGCGTGTTTGTCTTCAGCACCCTTGGAGGGCGTTCGAGAGTGGCTGCCAGCGCAAAGGCATACCGTGAATATCGGGGTGCTTCCGATGGATCTGGGCCGGGCATGGATCTGACAGGTGATTGGCGAGCCACGCCATGCAGTGGCTCATCATGACGCGGCTGGAGCGCGAGGTGGTGCCCTGCATGTCGGCCCTTTGCGGAGCTCGAGCGCGGCAGGGGCGAGCGAAAGGATGAGCATTGCAGAAGCTCGGCCGACGCCAACTAACGTGACCCAGACACCTGGCTGCTCCCACTTGTTCGAGGCGTGGGCCCCAGAGGTCTGGACCACTTCCCTGTAGGGCCGGCTTCTGGCTCTGAGCCGTTTTGTTGACGCTCCCGAGGCCCAGCGAGGATCCGTACCCGAGTTGCCCCGGACCCGAGCTAACCCGGGATAACTCGGGCGCCCAGAGCCCCACATACATCAGGAGTATCTCGGGCCAGGCCTAACTCGGGTTCGTTTTTGCGGGAATCCGAGCCCAAGTGAACTCCAGACCCGAGCTACCCCAGATAACTCGGGCACCCAAGTCTCAGGAGGGGGGAAAACACACCGACACAATTCATCGTCGATTCCCCGGAAAATATGGGAACATTTGGGAAATTGGGGGGAAGACGAACACCCAGAAAATATATGAAAATATTGGGAATCCTGGGATTTCTGTGTATGTATTTATTTGTGTGTGTGTCCTTGAGCCCCTTCAAAGTCACGCGGCCCTCCGACGAGCGCGACCTCGCACGGGCGGCGCTGGGGCCCCGCACGGCCCATCCGCGCAGCGGGCCGTTTCCCGGGTGGCGCCCGGGTGGCGCGCGCGCAGGCGCAGAGCGCGCCGCGGCCAGTCTCCACACGCGCGCTGCGTGGCGCGGCGCGCCAGGGTCGCGTCGTTGAAATGGTGGCCGGATTTTCCACCACCGCCACTGCCATACGGGGGACGGGGGAGGAGGGAGGATGATTGAGGTCCTCCTCCTCCTACTCCTCCTTCTCCTCCTCCTCCTCCTCCTCCTCCTCCTCGTCCCTCTCCTACATATGGTAGTGGTGGCGGAACATGGACCCCTCATAAAACAAAAAATCAGGACGGGTGGTTTTTGGCCGCTTTCGGCCTCGAGGGGCCCTCGCACGGGACCCCGGGGCCGTCAAAAAATGATTCAAGAGGCAAGTCGGGGGCGGAAAAGAGGGGGGTGATGACTAGGGGGGGTGGATATCATGGCGTGGGCCATGATATTTCCCCAGATTTCATGGCGCCTCTTCTTGTTTCATTACGTCCCAGGCCCCCCCGCTGGGCCGCGCACATGCCGACGGTCATGATTTGCACCCCCCCCCCTCTTGGACACCCCCCTCTTTGCCGCTCCCGATGGCAAGACGGGTCCTGGGGAATGAGTGGGTCGAGAATTCCGGGGACCCCGGATTGATTCGGAGGTGGACAGAACCCCCAACAGTGACACGTCGAGTAGTGAATTGTCCGTTTTCGGTTCTCGAGAGGGCGCCAGGGCCGTCATTTTCCAGGCTCGCGCCCGCCAGGTTTGGGCCTCGGGTCGTTTTCACTAAACCACGTTTTGCTAAAGGGAGGTCTGTCCATCCCCGATTGATGAAAAAAACCATGACATTGGACCTCTGGGGATCACGTCGTGAAAGAATCAGGGCGGGAGGTTTGTGGCCGTTCTCGGCCTCCGGGGGCCCTCGCCGCGCCCCTCGGGACCGTCAAACAACGACTCAGGCTGAAAAGCCGGTCCCCGGGAAGGGGTCGAGCTTTCCTGGGACCCCGGATTGAATAACATCACGACATGAATGGGGATCGCGTCGACAAAAATCTCAAGGGCGGAAGGTTTTTGGCCGTTTTCGGCCTCTGGGGGCCCTCGCCAGGCCCCGGGACCGTCAAGAAACGACTCAGGCTGAAAAACCGGTCCCGGGGAAAGGGCCGGGACTTCCAGAGACCCCGTATTGAAAAAGTCAGGATGTCGCATGTTTGGGTCTCCGAGTCGTTCGTCGAGCAGTGGCGAAGCGTCCGGGCTTGCTCATAGGCCCACCAGAGACTGTTCTAAGAACGTTTTACTCATGGCTTGAAGAAGTGGTGTTCTTAGATGTTCTTGTCTTAACACATCGATGCGCATGTGCATGGCTTGTTGATCTTACAGAACGTCTGGGTTCTAAGAACATGTTGTAGTAGGCCTATAGGGTTAGGTGTCGGACGTGCCCCCCTACACGCGGATTCGTGACGAAAATAATTCATACCAGACAAATGCTCAAATAGATAAATGAATAGTCAAAAGATCGTCCCCAGACGATGTTTGTAGTATTTTTTGCATCTGTATCCAGTAGAGGGACAGGCCCGACTTAACTATAGGGATGCCAGGACGGTCGGCCCCTGCTCAAGTTCGGGGGCCGTGAGACGGGGGTCCATGCAAGCGGGGGTCCGTCAGAGCATCGGATCTTGCAGGATCCTGCAGGGCCAGGGGGGCACTCCACTGGCCAGGGCCAGCGTGCAGGATGCTGCAGGGTTCTGCAGGATCCTGCGGGATCTTGCAGGACCTTGCAGGATCCTGCGCAACGCCTGACCGACCCGGGCTTGGATTGGCCTGGGTCCGTATCACCGAGCGCGCTCCACGACTCGCAAAATGCCTTCTCGCAAAAGGGTCCTACAAGCAGGCGTCTGCCTCGATGTAACAGATCGCAAATTCCCCTCGGCGGATCCGCGATCGATCCGATCCGATTTCTGTCTCGGGCAGCCCGATCCTATCTCGTCTTATCTTCCCTCGATCAAGTGCGGCCCGATGCTTACGTGGCGCTGTTGTGCCCGGAGGAGGAGGAGGAAGAGGAGGAGGAGGAGGAGGAGGAGGAGGAGGAGGAGGAGAGAGGAGGAGGAGGAGGAGGAGGAGGGAGGAGGAGGAGGAGGAGGAGAGGAGGAGGAGGAGAGGGGGCCGAAAAGGAGGAGGAGGAGGAGGGGAGGAGGAGGAGGAGGAGGAGGAGGAGGAGGAGGAGGAGGAGGACGAGGAGGACGAGGAGGACGAGGAGGACGAGAGGAGGAGGAGGGAGGAGGAGGAGGAGGAGGAGGAGGAGGAGAGGAGGAGGAGGACGAGGAGGAGGAGGAGGAGGTGAGGAGGAGGGGGAGGAGGAGGAGGAGGAAGAAGAAGAAGAAGAAGAAGAAGGAGAAGAAGAAGAAGAAAGAAGAGGAGGAGGAGGAGGGGGAGGTGGAGGGGGAGGAGGAGGAGGAGGAGGAGGAAGGAGGAGGAGGAGGAGGAGGAGGAGGAGGAGGAGGAGGAGGGGGAGGAAGCGGAGGATCGGGAGAAGGGAGAGGAGGAGGAAGAGGAAGAGGAGAATTTGCGAGTACTTCCTTTGCGAGTCGTGGAACGCGCTCGTGTACCGTTGGCCCCCGAGTCGTGTGCAGCAGGGCCGGCCTGCGGCGGAGTGCGGCGGCAGTGCTGCTGCGGCACCGCCGCCGCCGGCCCAGGGCGGGCCCCCGAATGCGCAGGCTGAGTTTCTTGGCGAAGGCACCCCCTGCAGGGGAAGCTTCCTTGGCGGCGAGCGAGGGAGGGGGGGGGGGGGGGGGGAAGCTTCGGGTTCGAGATCCTGGGTTTGAGGTTTTCGGCCGCTCTCGTCGGTTCTCGGCGGCTGTCTGGCCTCGGGATGCTTGCCAGCAGCTGCGCCTCTCCGAGGGCGCTCCGGGGGTGTCTGGGTCGTCCCGAACGGCCGCCGGAGACCTGAGTCATGACCCGAGAAGGAGACCGCCTTCTCAGAAGGCGGCGGGACTGCTTGGATGCCCTCGCGCCTTCTGGGAGGTTGTCTGCCTCTTCGGGGCAGGGTCAGAAAACTCTTCAGAAGGGTCAGAAGGTCAGGAAATTTTCGAGCCTCCTGAGAAGGCCCGCCACTTCTCACTTCCACCCGGGCGCGCCGTCGACTGAGGACTCGAGTTCGCCAGAAGCCGGGTTTGCCAGCGCTTTTTGACGAGCCCGCCGCGAACTCCGATGGTCCAGTTGTCGTGGGATGGTTGCAGCGGTAGCTCGCGTCTCGTCTCAAACTGGGTCCCGTCGCTTTCCTGTTGGCCCCGTCAGTCTAGGCTTCCCCGATGGGGTCCCAGTGGATAGGGTGGGAGGACCGCGCCGCATCGCCGATGCATCGCCGATGCATCGGCGATGCATCGGCGATGCGGCTGGATGCGGGCCCCAATTCTCTCCACGCCGACGTCGCCGATGCATCGCCGACGTCGCCGGCGCATGGCCGATGCCTCGGCGGTGCATCGCCGATGCGTCGGCGGTGCGGCTCCGACCCCATCCAGGAGGCCTCCAGTCGGACGAACCCGAGCCTTACCGCCCCAGGCGGGCGGGTTCTCAGGGCCTGGGCTTGGGCCACAGGGTCGCGGTGAGCGGCGGGGCCGTGCGGGGCCCCCTCCTCCTCGTCCTCCTCCTCCTCGTCCTCCTCCTCCTCCTCCTCCTCCGCCTCCTCCGCCTCCTCCTCCTCCTCCTCCTCCTCCTCCTCCTCCTCCTCCTCCTCCGCCCCCTCCTCCTCCTCCTTTCAGGCTGCTTTCACTCCTCCTCCTCCCTCCTCTCTCCTCCTCCTCCTCGTCCTCGTCCTCCTCCTCCTCCTCTTCCTCCTCCTCCTCCTCCTCCTCCTTCTCCTCCTCCTCCTCCTGCCGCGGGCGTGTCGCTGTTCGCCGTTTCGGCGTCGGAGGTTTGCTTTTGGCCTCGTGCATGTTTTTTGTCTAGGCCTCACAGATGGGGCCAGAGCGGATGGGGTCCGAGGAACGCGCCGCATCGCCGATGCATCGTCGATGCGGCTCGATGTGGAGCCCGATGATCTCCGCGCTGGCGCCACAGAAACACCACCCACGTCGCCGATGCATCGGCGATGCGGCTCGATCCTCCCACACCATCTACTCGGACCCCATCTGGGAGGCCTCCATTGTGCACGTTGGAGGAGGAAAGGTTCCCTCCCTCTGCTACGGTTCCCTTGTCTCCCCTTCCTGGGCCTCCCAGGAGGCCGTCGTCGCCACCGCTGGATTCCCCTCGAAGTCCTGGTCAGAACCCGCCCCTGGCTGGAGGGGTCCTGGGAGCAGCGCTATCGGTCCCTTGTGGTTCCCCCGGTGCAGCTTGGAAGACACGCCCTGCGGTGTCAAGAAGAGCCCAGGGGGTGGGGTCGGGAGATGCCTACGCCGCGAGAGAGGCGCGGCTGCGGAATGGGAGGTCCAGGGCGGCGGGTCCGTCTGACTGTTTGGGCCGCTGGCTCAAGCAGTACCTCGCGCGCCACTCGGTTTCCAGACCGGCTTCGATGTTGAACACCTGGCGCGGATCTCGGCCGGGTGCGCCACATTCCGAGGCGGCCAGAGGGACGCACGGGAGGGCCAAGGAGTGGAGCGCAGCGTTACAGGCGCTCTTCGAAGAATCCCGGCACTCTGTGAGCATTAGCCCAGGCCGCTACGTTGCGACTGCCAGCGCCTGTGCAAAAGGCCAGCAGTGGCAGCGGGCCTTGTCGCTTCTCTGCGAGTTGGTTGAAGCAACAATTGAGGCCGGCATCATCAGTTACAGCGTTGGGATCAGCGCGTGCGAAAGAGGCAAGCAGTGGCAGCGTGCCCTGTCGCTGCTCAGCGAGATGCAACCGGCGAAGCTGGAACCCGATGTCACACACAATGAATATATATATATATATATACACACACATAGATGACAATGGCTCTCAGCCACGCTCGCCCAGAGGGCTTTTTGGATTCCTGTTATTGTTTAGAAAAACCAAGAAGCAGTTTCGCAACTCTCCGCTTTCCGCTCCGGATGGTTTCCACGCATGCCCCGATGCACCTCCAAGAGGACCCCTGAGATTTTCATGAGCGCCCGTCGACTTGTATTCGAACGCAAGGTGTTTGCCCACAGTGCTGATCAAGTCGGCTTCGGCAGCTGCAGGCTTTTCCGGTGTCCTACTGCTGACACTGCCGAGAGCAGATCGGTAACAAGCATCCGTTTCGAACTCGCTTATAAGAGCTCTCACGGGCAGGCACTTTGGCTGTCTGGCTTCGCGTGGGAGCACTGGCCAGCGGCAGCAGGGCGCAGGCGCGCAGGAGCTTGCGGCAGCAAGCTCGGAGTAGCTCCGAGAGCACGGACGAGCATCGTGCGGCAGCTCAACTCAGGAGGGGGAAAAAAAAAACACAGGCACAATTCATCGTGGGAGCATGGGAAGTGGGGAAGAAGGGGGGGGGAAGACAACAACCCAGAAAACACGGGAAATTACGGGGAATCGGGTTGTTCGTGTCTACTTGTTTGTGTGTCCCAGGGCCCCTTCGTCAACATCGGCCGACACGGCCCCCCATCCCCGTTCTGGGCAGGCCGTGGGGATGCGGGCCCCCGCTTCGGGCGCCGCGAGTGGCTCAGCACACCCTGAGCTCACCCCCCGCGGGAGCGCGCTGCAGTCATCATCATCTACAACGCCGGGATCAGCGCGTGCGAGAAGGGCGAGCAGTGGCAGCGGGCTCTGGCGCTGCTCGCGGAGATGTGGGGCGCGAGGCTGGCGCCCAACGTCACCCATCTTACACCACCAGGCACTAAGCTCAAGTCGGGCCTGTCCCCCTACAGGGGGATTTTCGACGAACAATTAAACACACCCCCAAAATAGTTTAAACATTGTCCAAAAATAGTCAGGGGACGATCTTTTGAATATTTTTGACCCTGTTTGGTTTATTTTGGGGGTATTTTTTTTAAACATTTGTCGTCGAAAATCCCCCTGCAGGGGGGGCAGGCCCGACCTAACACTAAAGCGTGCCAGCAGGTGGGACCGCCGTGCCCTCGCGGCCCCGCTTCGGGGGCGACGGCGCCTGGGCCCGAGAGGGCCCCCGCCCCCCCTACATCCCAGGGAGGCCCCGAGGGGATCTCGCGATGGCCCCCCGAGGGAATCTCGCGACGGCGCCTGGGCCCGAGAGCCCCCCCCCCCCCCTACATCCCAGGGAGGCCCCGAGGGGATCTCGCGATGGCCCCCCGAGGTCCAGGGGACTGCCCAGGAGCGCCCCAGAGGCGGCCCAGGAGAGCCGCGGAGCGGAGCGTGCAGATGCTCTGGCGTCTCTCTCCACATGAGCTCGTACGTTCGCGTCTCCGACCCCCGCAGCGCCCAAGACGATCCAAGCTATTTCCGGAATCGGTCCAATGTGGCCCAGGCGGCCTCCAAGAGAGTCCCGAAGATGGCCCAGGAGGCCCCACATTTTCCCCATAACGGTCCAAGAGGCCCTCGAGACGTCCCCAAGAGGAGACTAGACAGGGATCCCGAACTCAAATGCGGAACAGTTCCCCCCCGAGTCGTCCCCTTCACGTTCCCCGGATCCCCGAGAGACTCCCCCACCCAAAACAGTCCAAGAGCCCCCACGACGGCTCTAAGAGATGTCCGAAAGTGGCACCCAGAATTGTAGCAACAGCACACAGCAGCAGCTAGCATTCCGACAGCACCCAGCACTGGTAGCAAGCAGCAGCAGCAGCAGCAGCAATGATGCGGAGGAGGAGGAGGAGGAGGAGGAGGAGGAGGAGGAGGAGGAGGAGGAGGGGGAGGAGGAGGAGGAAGAGGAGGAGGAGGAGGTCCGTAGCCAATTTGGCTCAAGGTCCGTAGCACGTGGCTCAGTGACCTCGGCATTTGGCGGGGGGGGATTGCGGCCTCCGACCGTTCGCTGCCCTGTCTGACATTCTGTCGTCTTCCTCTTACTGGGCCACTGGGCCGATGGATTGTTGGTCTTGTCCTCGTGCGCGTCAGTGCGGGTACCGCTACAATTGTGCGTGGCGCACGTCGTGTCGCATGTGCGGCCAGGCGCCCAAGAAGCCCTCCGTGTCTCAGCCCCCGCCGCCACGCGGGAGTTGGACCAGACCTCCGCGTCTGCCCCAGCACGCTTGCGGGCCCCAGTGCCCGTCAGATGCGGAGATCGCCATCTGCGCCGCCACGTCCGCCGCCGGCTTCGGCGCCATCAGCGACGGTTGGCTCCCGAGGGCGGTCGGCCGGGCGCGCGCCGCACGGGCCGTGCCGCAGGGGGAGCCCCGTGCATGCGCCAGGCAGGCCCGCATCCAGCAGGACACTCGCCAGCAGAAGCTCGAGCAGGCGAAGTCCGAGGTCGAGTCGGCCAGGGTGGCGCTCGCGCAGGCCACCCAGGCCGCGGCCAGCGCCCAGGCAGAGCCCGCCGTGGCACAGGCCGCCGCGGACGACGCGGCCACCAAGGCCGCCCAGGCCTTCGGCAGCCTCGCTCCCGCCGCGCCCAAGGATGGCGATCTTGCTTTCCACGGTTGGGCTAAGGGCCTCCGCGAGCAGGCCGTGCCCGACGACCCCGGCGCCAGGGAGAAGTTCCTGCGCATTCTGCAGCAGCTGGATGACATAGCTAAAGAGCTTGGTTATTATGAGCCTGCTCCTGTCGCTCCGCATGTTCCCGCTCCTGCACCTCTTTGTGTCGGCGGTAGCGCAGCCGCAGCCGCTGATGCAGGTGGTGTGGAGCGAGCAGTGCCCTCGACATGGAGCTCGACGACCTCATCGGCGACAACTTGTTTCATGGCGGAGTTGGACGAGAAGCATGGCATCAAGCAGGGGTTGGCCAGCAGCCTCTTCCACGACGCCAAGGAGCGCATCGCCAAGAAAGCCAAGGCTGGCACGCTGCCGTCCGACGATCCGAGTCTTTAGCTTCTCGTTCGTGTCTTCTAGCGTCACGGGCATGTCAGGGTTGGATGTGCCTCTCGCCGATTCCGACGCTCGACGCGCCCAAGCAGCTTGTGTGCAGGAACATCGCAAGCTCGATGGAACCGCCCTCGAGCACAGGCTTCGCACCGCGGGATGGTGCGCTCGAGTGGGCACCGCCATCACCACGGCTTCGAGCAGAGGTACGACGGATGGTGTTGCTATGATGACGGCAGCCCATGGTCTTCGTGAGTTAGAAGCTGTTCCCGCAGATCTCTTGTCTGGCAGGGTCGTAGCCGCGCGCTGCTGCGGTCCGTGCTTGGGAGGATTTTTGACGGATTGGAGCACACTTGCGTCACAGTCGTGGGCTAGCAGCAGCGAGCTGGGCTTGAACATGCCATTCGCCAGCCAGGGTGTTTTGGAATATTGTGGCAGAGAGTCTACGTGGATGCATGTGGGTCGACAGTAGTAAAGCAGTCGTCCTCGCCCCGCCTACCCCATGGGTCTGGAGGTGCGTGTCTTGACTATGTTGTTGTGCGCCACAGTCTGCGGCATGGTCACAGCATTCGCGTGCTTCCGTCCGTTGCCACCGAGCCTCACAAGCAAGTTCTTTTGCAGTTGCGTACCTCGGTCGACAACCAGCGCCCCCTCAGCGCGGCCCCTCCGCGTCGCTTCCCTGGAGTTCGGCCGCGTGGATGCGGGGGGCGCGATTAGCAGCGGCGATGGCAGCAGCACGTGAAGGCGGCGCCGCGTCCCTGTGCCACAGTTCATGGCATGGGTGTGGATTTTGCTCACGTGGTTAAGCAGTTCCTCGGTATCTACCAGATCGAGTCTCGGCAGGCGGACGCCCGCACAAGACGTGGTCGACCGCTGCAACCCGAGCAAGTGCGCAGTCGCGTCCCCCATCGGCTTCCCTTTCCTCGCCCGAGCGCCTTCGCCGTATGGTGGTGGCGCGTTGCGTGCGCTATGCGCGCGCGCTCTCTCTCTCTCTCTCTCTCTCTCTCTCTCTCTCTCTCTCTCTCTCTCTCTCTCTCTCTCTCTCTCTTTCTCTTTCTCTTTCTCTTTCTCTTTCTCTTTCTCTTTCCCTTTCTCTTTCTCCTTCTTTTTTTGTTCTCTCTCTCTCTCATTATTTCTCTGTTTCTTTTTGTTTGTTTCTCTCTCTCTCTCTCTCTTTTCCTCTTCCTCTTTCCCTCTCTCTCTCTCTCTTTCTCTCCCTCTCTCTCTCTCTCTCGCTCTCTCATCCTCTCTCTCTCTCTCTCTCTCTCTCTTCTTTCTCTCTCTCTCTCTCTCTCTCTCTCTCTCTCTCTCTCTCTCTCTCTCTCTCTCTCTCTCTCTCTCTCTCTCTCTCTCTCTCTCTCTCTCTCTCTCTCTCTCTCTCTCTCTCCCCCTTTCCGGCGCTCCTCAGCTTCGTCAGCAGGCCTTTCGCGCGCGCAATCGGCTGCCGCGCGGGGCGAGGGTTCGCTTCGCTTAAGCCCCGGCAGGGCGCGCGCCATGGCTGCGCGCGCTCGGCGACATGAGCTTGCGAAAGTGTTCGGAGCGGGGGGCCGCGCCAGAGCCGTTCGGGAGCGCAAAACGGCCGCCAATGCCCTGAGTGCCGACTGGTGCGAAAGGGTTATGGACCACTTCGTTGACGGGGCCACGGCTCTCATCGCCGCCGCTCGGCCGCGCGCTCCGCGGCGCGCCGCCGAACGCTTCGAGGACAGCGGTGCGCTTCTGCCTGCGCCCGCGTCTCCTCGGCAGGAGATGGGCCTCCCGGCAGCAGAATGGCGGCGCTGGTGCAGAGTGGATCAGAACCTCCCTGATCTGCTATGGTCAGAGGATCTCGGCCCGCTTTTTACTGAGCCCACCGTCAGGGAGATGCGCAGTGCGCTTCGATCCTTTTCCGTCTCGCTCTGGTTGTGGTTTCGACGGCGCGCCTCCTCGGCAGTTCGTTTTTTTCTCCATGGCGAGGCTGTGACCGCTCTCATTCAGCGATGCAAGGCCGCTCGCGCAGGCCGCTCGCGCGAGCCTGGCAGCCCCAACGCTTCAGCGAGTTTTTCTGTGTCACCGCTGGGCAAGGCTCGGGCAACGTGTTCTGGATCAGGCTGGCGGAGATCGAATCGGCCAGGATCGCGGTTTCGCTGGTGCGCTGGTGCTTTCCGATTTGGAGAAAGCTTCTGGGCGGATTTATCACCCGAGGCTTCTTGCTGCAGCTGCCGCCGCAAATTTCCCGATGCGCCAGCTCGATCTTCTCATCTGACTTCGCAGGGCGCCGCGGATGCTGGATTTGCGCGGCCGCGCGTCGGAATTCGAGCGCGCGCTGCAGGCCGTCGTTCCAGGCTGTCACTCTGCCGCGCGCCGATGCTGCAGCTCGTGGCGCCGCAGCCACCAGACGTGGTCAGCCGCGCTCTCCCGACCGTCGAGAAGGGAGTCGCGGTCGATGGTTTTGGGTCGCGCGTTTGTGGTCGGGAGGGGCAATGCATCAGCATGTCGGTTGGCGCCGTTGAGTTGGCGCACCATTGCCAAGCTCAATTTGCGCGTCAGAGCTTCCCAGATCAAACTCGTTGCATCGTCTGCCGGGGCGCGCGTTAAGCTGCAGGCGCGGCCCAGACGTCTCTCGGCCCAGGGAGTCGTCACCGAGCGCAACCTTCGCATTGATTTTTTAAGAGGCAGGCAGGCTCCCAGACGGGTCGGGCACGATCGTTTGCTTCCCGCGCGCGCCAGGCACAGCGAGGTGCTCTCGTTTGGCCGCCTGCTCAAGCGTGAGCGACTGTGCATCGCGTGGCCCGGTTTGCATTCTTTCTCGCGTGCCTTATGGGCATCAGGTCCGAGGCGCGAACAACGCCGAGTTGCGCGAAGCGGGGTGCCAACGAGCCCAGGTCCGAGTTGCCGGGGTCGACGGCCGATCGGTCTCCCTCATGCTGCAGCTCTCGGATGTTGACATGGTCGATCCTGCTTTTCAGTTATGCAAGGGCCCTTTTGGTCGCCCTAGCCTCTGCCGTTTGGGGCTCCTGGATTCCCCTGCTGCTTGGTGCAGGTTGTCCGAACGCGGATCCCCGTGGCAGAGCATTCGGGGCTTTGTCCGCGCTTGTGTCGCTTCCGCCCTCCGACTGGGCATGAACGCGCATGGCCTACAGTGGCCCCGCCATCCGTTGGCGTCTTCTTCCCCGTCTACCCCCCTCGCACTCTGGGGCGTGTGTGGAGTCGTCATGTGGAGGCGTGGATATGGAACAGGGTAGCTGACCACCTAGTTTGCCCAGGGGTTCAGGACGGCGCCCTGCTGCATCGAATTCAGAAGGTCGTCCGCAGCCAAAAAGTTAGCGCGCAAGGTGGCGCATATTTGCGCAGCGTTGTCTGTCCCCTTTCAGGAAGAAGCGCGCGGGGCGGGCATCGCCGCCGCCTTTCGCAGGTCGGCCCACGGCTGCGCGTGAGCAACCTCTCTCTCTCGCCTCCTCGCCGAGAGACTGCTCGCTCCTCTTGCCGCCCCCCCCCCCCCCCTGCTTCCAGGCCTCCAGGACCCTGGCTGCTCGGTGGCGGTCACTTGCAGGGGCGCGTTTTCTGGGGCGGAGGCTTGCTCGACCCGTTCTCGTCGCTAGCCCCAGAGGGCTCGGGGTGGTCCCGTGCCCAGGTTTATCCGGCCACTCACCGTGTTGAGGCTAATTTCGTTGGCTCCTTTCAGCGCCCTGCAGCAGACGTTGATGCCCCCGAGCTTAGGGCCCTGCTGCAAGGTCTATGTATCTCTTTGCCTGGCGCCGCTTTCTACAGCGACCCAGGATCTGTTGTGGGCGGTGTTCTGGCGAGAGGGCCTGAGAGCACCTGCTCCGCTCGCAGTGCGCGGGCAGAGCTCTGGCGCATGCTGCGACAGCAGATCGCGGACTGGAGGTGCGCGTGGCGGACTTCTCTCTGGTCAAAGTCAGAGGACACGCAGCGCGCGCTTCAGCCAATTCAGACCAGGTTGCCCTTTGCCATAAAGTTGGCAACGACCTGGCCGACCAGCGCGCGGAGCAGGCCTCTGGTTTCTCGCGTCTCCCGACCCCTCTTCCGTGTCCAGCTCGAGAAGAAGGCCAGAGTTCCTTCGGAATGCACCAACGCCGCAGTTGGGCCGTCCATGGCGGCCATACACTCCGCCCATGTATCACCCAAGCGTGAGGCGAAAACCCGTGCCCCCCGCGCTCTCTGCCCTGCCGCCCCAGCCCCTCGCCACCCTTCGCAGCTTGCTCTCGGCTGTCCTTGAGCACGCTAGGGTGGGTATCGCAGGCGGCAGGCTTCATATTGTGCACCCGTTCAAGCTCGGAGACACAGGGCAGCGGCGCGTCGCCTGCACCGTCTGCGGCGCCAGTAGTCCAGGCACTGTCCCGGCCCTGTCTCGCCCAGGGCCTCCTCTCCCATCCTCTTGTGGTTGGCGTGCGTTGAAAGGTCTGGCCCTGGGCAGGTGCCAGATTAACAAGACGTGGCATCCCTTGTTCAGGCCTGGGATACCGCCCGTCTTGTGCGCGCGGGAGGTGCCGCCCCAGTCGCCCGTCCTTTTGGTGTCGCAGCGGCGGCCGTCTCTCGCCGCGGAGACAGCGACACTGATTGGGCATTTAGGAGCCTGCTCCTTATTTGTCTGGTCAGTTGGTGGGGTCGGGGGTCGGGTTCTGTTCTGGGGTTGCCCCGAGTCAGTACCCGCCCCGCCCTGCCCGACGGTATCTGGCTAGACTTCGCCTTTTGTTTTTTCTTGTCCGTTGATGGCTTGTGCCAGCACGCAGCTTCCCTCGCCGCGGTGGCAGCGGCATTGTTCAGACATTTACGGGACTGCCCCATATTTGCCTGGGTGCATGGTGGAGTCGTGGGTCGGGTCCTGTACCGTGGCTGGCCCAGGACAGCGCCTGCACTTTCCTGCCATGAGCGGCGTGGCAGGGCTTCACCGTTTTTTTTTGTCGCCCAGCCTGTGTGCGCGGGTATTTGCTTCGAGCCTGCCTGTTTGAGGTCGGTTTGTGTTCTTTGTTTGTCGCCTCGGGGGGCTCGCCCTCCCCTGAGGTGGCGCGCGGGCTGCGTGCTGCGCTGCGGCCACCCGCCCCCGTTCCCGCAGGCGCGGCCGCGCCCGCCCCGGGTGGCCCCCCCGCCGATGAGCAGCGGCGAGGGTGGCTGGCAGCATCGCTCGCTGCAACCGCCGCTGCCGCCGCCGTCGGGGCGGGCTCGGGGTCGGAGGATTAGGTTCTAGTTCCCGCGGTGGTTAGGATCGAACCTGGCGAGTCTAGGAGGAGGAGGAGGAGGAGGAGGAGGAGGAGGAGGAGGAGGAGGAGGAGGAGGAGGAGGAGGAGGAGGAGGAGGAGGACGAAGAGGAGGAGGAGGAGGAGGAGGAGGACGAGGAGGAGGAGGAGGACGAAGAGGAGGAGGAGGAGGAGGAGGAAGAGGAGAAGGAGGAGGAGGAGGAGGAGGAGGAGGAAGAGGAGGAGGAGGAGGACGATGGGGGAACTCGAATCGACCTTTCGCGCCCACCGCCCTACGACGACCCTCGAGACCGCCAGCGGGCCCCCAAGAGCCCCCCCGGGAGCCCCAGGAGGCCAACATCGTGCCAATCCTTCGGAACAGCGCGCATGTTTGGCATCGTCGTTGTTGTTGCTTTCGCAGCGCTCCAGCAGGCCTTAGAGGTCACCCCAGTAATCGCCCCAAGACGGCCCCAGGCTGGCCCAGGAGGCGCCCGAGACGGCCCAGGGGGCCACGAGCGAGAGGGAGTCCGAGCAGACCCTTTGCGCCCACCGCCCCGCGATGACCCTCGAGCCCGAATCGCCCCAAGACGGCCCCAGGATGGCCCAAGAGGCGCCCGAGACGGCGCAGGGGGGCCACGAGCGAGGGGGAGTCCGAGCAGACCCTTTGCGCCCACCGCCCCGCGATGACCCTCGAGCCCGAATCGCCCCAAGACGGCCCCAGGATGGCCCAAGAGGCGCCCGAGACGGCGCAGGAGGGCCACACGCGAGGGGGAGTCCGAGCAGACCCTTTGCGCCCACCGCCCCGCGATGCCCCTCGAGCCCGCCGGCGGGCCGCCAAGAACCCCCCCAGGGAGCCCGGAGGCCTCCAGGACGCCCCAGGCCAGGCCCCAAGAGGCCCCCAAAGGGGGCCCAGACAGGCTCCTCGCTCCTCCCCGCTCTTTCCTCGTTCCTCCCCGCTCTCTCCTCGCCCCTCGCCTCTCTCGTTGCGCTCCTGGCTCCTGGACGCCCAAGCCAGGCCCCAAGATGCCGCCAAAGGGGGCCCAGACAGTCTCCAGGACTCCCCCTAAAAGCCACCCCAGAGGCGTCCCAGAGAAGGCCCTGGAGGGAGCTCCGTGGCCGCGCGGGCCACCCAAGAGAGCCCCATGAGCGGCCCCGGAGACGCGCGCCGAGGCCATTCAGATAGGCGTGTGCTGGCCTCTGATCATGCCTTCCTTCTCGCTCCTTGCTCCTCGCTCCTCCCCGCTCTTTCCTCGCTCCTCCCCGCTCTCTCCCCGCCCCTCGCCTCTCTCATTGCGCTCCTGGCTCCCTTCTCGCTCCTCCTCGCTCTTCCCACCTCTCTCCTGGCCCCATCGCTTCTCCCTCCTGGCTTCTGGCGTCTGCCTCCCTCCCTCCTCTTCAGCTCTCCCTCATCCCTCCTCGCGTCTCTCTCTCTCTCTCTCTCTCGTCTCGGCCGTCGCTCCTCTCCTCTCGCTCCGTGCTCCTCTCGCTGATCGCTACTCGCTTCCCCCCAGCCCCCTCCCTCGACCCTGACTCCTCGCGCCTTGCTCCTCGCTCCTCGCTCCTCGCTCCACTCACGAGCTGCAGGTTGCATCATCTATCAAGGGCAGAAGCAGCAACACCTTTTAGCCTCAAGCAGTAACAGCGAACACCAGCAGTCCGCAGCAGGCAACGGCATCACAGCAAACGCAAGCAGCAACGACGTGCCGCAGAGGCCAGCACCCTGCAGCTGCAGGCAGCAACAGCAGAGGCGAAGTTCGGGTGCAACGTCATCACGAAAGTTGTTCGGCAACATCTGCCCTTGTCCAACGTGCCATCTCGGACAGATTACGTGGCCAGGAGACGGGTCAGCTAGCTCTAGTCAGCTATAACGCCGGGATCAGCGCGTGCGAGAAGGGCGAGCAGTGGCAGCGGGCTCTGGCGCTGCTCAGCAACATGCGGGAGGCGAAGCTTGTGCCCGACGTGATGACTTCTACCAGGAAGCGCGGATCTACATGCCGCGCAGGCCAACCTGGTGCCGCGAACAGCATACATATGGTGCCGCACTTGTTCCAGCTCTCGGCCTCTCTCTGGCAGGGTGCCCAGGCCCTCCGCAGGTGTACCCGGCGCTCGGGCCTCTGCATGACGTGCGAGTCCAACCGCGTGTGGTTCAAGCTGCTTGGTCACATTGCAGCGACCCGTACGAGAGGGAAGCACCCCGAGGTGGCTCCAAGTGGCCACGGAGTTTCCCAAGAGGTCCCCCAAGAGGGCCCCAACAGAGCCCAGTAGGGTCACAGGAGCGCCGCAAGAAGGGCTCCAGAGCGTCAGTGTCGTCGTCGTCGTCGTCGTCGTCGTCGTCGTCGTCGTCGTCGTCGGTCGTCGTCGTCGTCGTCGTCGTCGTCGTCGTCGTCGTCGTCGGTCGTCGTCGTGGTCGTCGTCGTCGTCGTCGTCGTCGTCGTCGTCGTCGTCGTCGTCGTCGTCCCCCTTCAGGGTCGGCAGCACCGGCCGTAGGGCCTTCCCAATACCCAGTCTTGTTGCCCCCCTAGCCAGCCCCGGGCAGTCCAGAGGCTTCATGCAGCCCCTGGCGGGGGGGTTCTCGGACCTCGCGCGGACCAAGGGCGCTCCAAGACGGCCCCAAGGGACCGCCCTGGATGCCCCCAAGTGAGCCCCAAGACAGCCCAAGAAGCCCTAAGAAGAACTGCGAAGCGCACCCGAGGTCTCCAGAGGGCCGCGAACATGCGCCAGGGGAGACCCCAGGACAGCGTTTCAAATATTTGAGGATTTCAACTTTCTATGTTTTCAGGCCCCAGATTGCATCACGAGGGTGTCGCGCGGCCTTGGAAGTCCCCAAGGCAGCTGCACAAGTGGCCCCAGGTTGGCCCCAGGAGGGGCCCGAGGAAGCCCACGAAGGTCCCCGAGAGAGGAGAGGCCAGCGGTCGCCCGGGATGGCGCCGGAAAGGCGCCAAAGCCCATGGAAGGCTCCCTGAGGGCCTCGCCGATGCGCAGCGAGAGGACCGCACACCGCCCAGACAGGCCTCCTCCTCCTCGCAGTCCAAGACAGCCGTACGCCGCCCCCAGAGCAGCAGCAGTGAGCAGCCGGCGGCACGAGCAAGCACAACGAAGACGCAGTACTACCCTGCGGCAGCACGCAGCAACGGCAAGCGGCGGCAGCACGCAGCAGCCTGCATCAGCAGCAAAAGTCAGCAGCACCACGCAGCAGGCAGCAACAGACACAAGGCAGCTGGCTGCGACAGCCAGCATAAGCAGCAAGACGCGTGACTACGCAGCAGCAGCCATCAACAGCAGCCAGCAGCACGAACCAAGCAGCGACAGCAAGCAGCTGCAGCCTGCAGCAGCACGCAGCAAGCATTAACTACTGATCAGCAGCACCCCGCAGCCACGAGCATTAACAGCGATCGGCACGGCAACCATGGCAGCGCAGCAGCAGCAAGGCAGCATCGGCCAGGACCAAGCAGCAGCACGCAGTCCCGCCAGGCCATATCAGGCAGCCGCACGCAACAGCAACCACACGTCCGCAGCGGTCAGAAGCAGACACTAGCAGCACGCAGCACAGACCATTGGCAAGCGCCAGGAAGTGGCAGCGCGTGGACGAGCAAGTAGTGAAGCAAGCAAAGCTCAAAACAGGGGAGTAGGTTAGTTTGAAAGCTGTCAAGCCACTAGGTCAGCAACCACGCGCGCAGGACAGTACGCAAGGAACAGGTACATGACCATCGCATTTGCATGCGAGTGAGTTTTCGCGGATGGCAGTCCACGGATCAGCCCCAGTCAGCTATAATGCTGGAATGAGCGCGTGCGAGAAAAGCAAGCAGTGGCAGTCGGCCTTGTCTTTGCTCAGCGAGATGTGGGAGGCGAAGTTTGAGCCCGACATCATCTCTTCTACATTGCAGAGCTCCGTGCGTCGCAGAGGGGTTCTGCACCGCGTAAGTTCTCGGAGCCGTCACAGGGCCCCAGGAGCCCGAGAACCCCCAACGACCCCCCAAGACGACGCCGAGGTGGCCCCGAGACGCCGTGGGATGCCTGCGTGGAGGGCGAACGGCTGTCGAGAGTGCTGAAAATCATGTTTGGAGTATCCTGAAGCTTTACACCTTTCCACTTTGCGGCCGCGGATCGCTCTGGGAGGGCACCGGGACACCGAGGAGCCCCGAGGCCCACAAGAGCCCCCGGGAGGGCATCGCGGGCCCTGCCTGCCCCCAATCTGGCCCGAGGGCCTCCCCAGAGCGCCCCCGAGGCCCCTCCCAGCACAACAGCACCCGGAGGCCCCACAGAACGCCCAGATGGCGCCAGGAGGCGTTGGAAGCCCCAAGGGAGAAGCCCTACTGTAAGGGCGCCCAAGACGCCCCAAATGATGCCCAAGAGGGCCCTGAAGTGCCCCAAGAGGGCCCCGCGAGCGGCCCAGGAGGAGAAGATTGCGTGCTCGGGCACAAGGGCGTCGAGGCCATTGGGACATCCGTGTGTTGGCCGTTCCTCCCTCTTCGCTCCTTGCTCCACGCTCCTCGCTCCTCGCCTCTCTCTCCTCGCGCCAGCTGGCCCCCAAGAGGCCCCCCAGACGCCCCAGAAGGCACCCCAAAGGGCCGACATCAGGCCCCAAGACACCCCCAAACCGCCTCCAAGAGGCTTCCTCCAAGAGGCTTCCGAAGGAAGGTCTCTTATGGAGCTCTGGGACCGCGCCGGCCACCCAGGAAAAGAAGACCCCTGCGCCTCCCATATTTCCTCCCCTCCTCTGCAGGGGCTCCAGTCTGCATGGGCGACCCGTCCAGGAGTTCTTCCCGAGAGTGCTCGGAACAGGCTGGCCACTGGGCGCATGCTCCGCAGTGCCTTCGATCTTTATCTCCCCAGCCCACGCACCCCCTCGCATCCTCGGACCCCCTCGGGCAGCTATACGTAGCCACTTGTTGGAACATCGTTAGGAAAGAAGGCCCACTGCTGCTTCTTAATTTCCAGGCTTGGCCTCGGTATTGCCTCAAGGTGGCTCAAGATCATCCTGGGGCGGCCCAAAACGCCGTCACTACCCGAAGGCAGCAGCACGAAACACGAAGCAGGCAGCAAGAACGTCAGCGCACAGCAGCAACAAACAGCAGCAGCAGCAAACATCAGCAGCAGCAGGTAGCGGTCAGCAGCAGCAGCAGCAGCAGCAGCAGCAGCAGCAGCAGGTAGCGGTCAGCAGCACGCGCCAAGCAGACGTGGCCATCAGCAGCCCCATGCAACCACAGGCAGCGACACGCAGCAGCGGCAAGCGTTGCCAACAGTATGCAACAGCGGCAGCCGGCAACACCACGCAGAGGCATGCGCCGGATGCGAGGGTCGAGCCCCCATAGGTCCCCAACGCGCTCCCCCCGCAAGTGGACGTAGAGTCCACGGGTCGGGCCCAGTCAGCTACGGCGCTGGGGTCAGCGCGTGCGAGAAGGGCGAGCAGTGGCAGCGGGCCCTGTCGCTGCTCAGCGAGATGCGGGAGGTGAAGTTGAGGCCCAATGTCATCTATACTACAATAATTACCGGGCATTGCGCGCGCGAGAAGGGCGAGCGATGGTCACCCGCGGCGGCGCCCCGGGGGCTCCGCCCGTGGGGTGACGCCGTCCCGGCCCGGGACAGCCCCGGGACGGCCCATGAGGGCCCCGATGCGGAGGCCTCGAGAGTCTCTTGGAAGCTCCTCAGCGAGCCCGGCCCCAGGACGGGCTCGGAGGGCCCCCGCGAGCTTCCACGGAGCTCCCAGGGGACCCCCACGAGGGCCCCGAGGCCGCAAAACTATCGATATTCTCTAGGGTGTTTGACGTTTCCGGTGGTGCTCCCGCCCGCCCCAAGACGCCCACCACGGCACCGCGGGCGTCCGAAATCGGGCCCATGTTGCCCAGCGGGCCTCCATCCAAGAGAGTCCCCAAGACGGCCCCAGAGCCCCCCGATCGAGCTCCCGGGGCCCCCAAGACGGCCCAAGAACCCTCAAGAGGGTCCAGTTCGGAGCGCTTCCCCCCCCCTTTCGGGCTCCTCCACGGCCAGCACAGCTCCAAGACGCCCCCGAGAGGCCCCCAGAAGGCCCCGGAGGCGCTCCCAAGAGGCCCCCGGGCGCACTCCAGAGGCTCCCAGAAGGCTCCAGAGGCGCTCCCAAGAGCTTTCCAGAGGCTCCCAGAGGCTCTCCAGAGGCTCCCAAAGAGCCCCACGAGAACCCCCTCCCGGGTATCGGAGGGCCCCCCCGCCGCTTCCCCGATGCCTCCGCTGGGAACAGCCTGCTACAGCACGCGGCACTCCAGGACCTCTCAGGCATGACCGCCCCTTCCCCCCTCCGCCTCCACCCCAAGAGCGTGGCCCCTTCGCGGGTTCCTCAGGACACGTCGGCCTATCCACCCTTGCACAGCCAGCGTGCCCTGGGCCTTCCTGCTCCGGAGCCTCGCCCCTGATTCAAACAAACACACCCCTGGAAGACACATTTAAAATCTATGTTGGTTGCTCATTTCCCCAGCGGCAGCTGCATTCGGAAGGACAGCATGGTATCTAAAATTCCTCCCAAAATCATATGTGTTTTTACAGCGCTTCCGCACAGACATTTAGATACGAATAGATATGTTTCAAACACATATACGCTTAGATACGACTTCTTACCTTTTTTTAGATACGGGAGGTATGTTGTCTTCCAAATGTTAGATACGGGGTCATGTTTAGAAACGAATCTATGTATATATATATAGATGTGTGTATGTTTAAAAATGTTTAGATACGGTTCAATATGGCGCCCATCGCTTGAAAACGTGTATACCAAAAACAGATACGAATAGATAAAGCACCATGTCTCCTGCGCACGCCCACGATCGATCATTCTCGCTCCTCGCTCCTTGGATCCTCCTCATCCGCCCTCCTCGGTGCTCATCGTCTCTTCTCTTCTTTCGCCACATACTGAGTGGGGTTATTGTTCCCCGCATCCTGAGTGGGGTTCTTGTTTTCCTAGAACACCCTCTCCTGTTCCTTCTCCTCCTTCTCCTTCTCCCGCCTCCCTACTATACCATACCAACGCGTACCATACCAAAACAACGCCGACCTACCATACTATGGCTACCACACCACACCTACCATACCATACCCACCATACCATACCAAACCTACTATACCATACCAAACTTACCATACCATGTCATACCATGCCATACCTACCGAACCTACTATACCATACCTCTCCTCCTCTTCCCCCTCCTCCTCGACTCCTCCTCCTCCTCCGCCTCCTCTTTGCTCTCCCCATCCTCCGTTTCCTTGTTCCTACCCAGTTCTCTCCTCAATTTCGTTACGTCGTTGGTATCCATCATACTCCTCCTCGTTTTTGTCGTCGCTCGCCTCCTCACTCCTCATCGCTACGGCATCCCACTATCCTCATCCCATTGTTCATTGCTTCGACCAATATCATGGATATAGTTCGTGCCGGGAGCACAGCCAACTGCATTCGTTCTGACAACAATTCGATACGAATGGATACGGCGCGGCACTGCCATTCTTTGAACAATAAACACGAATAGATATGTTTCCTAGAAGAAAATAGATACGGTCCCAATGTTTTAGATATGCTTGAAGAATGCATACGTTTAGATACGGCGGCGCTCCTGCGCAGGCCGGGGGCGCGCATCTAACAAGAGTATCTATATTGTCGTCGTTGCAGAAAATAGATACGATGGGCTTCTCGCCTGCGCCAGGGCGCGATTGCATTTAAACGCATTTATTAGTGTTAGACACGCCTTGCAGGGACCCCAAACCTCTTGGGACACGCATCGCCTGGGAGGGGATGCCAAAAAGCCCTGCTTGGACCACCCGCAGACGTCCCAGGCCCCCTTTTGCGTGGACCCCTCCCGCACGGAGCGTGTCCCAAGAGGTGTGGGGTACGGTTTTCTCCATGCCAAATGCGCGCTCCCCCTCGCCTTCCTCCTCCCCGCCCCTTGCTCGCGCCCCCCCTGTTCCTGCGGCTGCTGTTGCTGCCCCTGCTGCTGCTGCCGCTGCTGCTGCTGCCGTTGCTCTCCCTCCGCCTCGTGCTGCTCCGCCTGCTGGACCCCGCCGCCCCTCCATCCCTGCTCCCCCCTGCCTCTTTATCCCCTGGCGACGACGACAGCGGCGGCGACGACGACGACGACAACGACCACGACGACGACGACGACGACGACGACGACGACGAGGACGAGGACGAGGACGAGGAGGACGAGGACGAGAAGGCCCACGGCCCCCGGAGGTCCGCGTTGCTTCTGTTGTTGTTGGACTGCTGCTGCAGCTGTTGCTGCTGCTACTGCCGATGATGCTGGATCTGCTGCTGGATCTGCTGCTGCTGCTGCTGTTGCTGCTGCTGCTAGCGCTGTTCCAGACTCCGTCAGGATCATCAAGCAAACTGCGCACCCTGAAGCAACAAGCAGCAACGAGCGCACGCTCAACCCTCTGGCATTCGTGGACGGTAGTCCACGGGTCAGCCCTAGTCTGCTACAACGCTGGAGTCAGCGCGTGCGAGAAAGGCGATCAGTGGGAACGGGCTCTATCGCTGCTCACTGGGATGCGAGAAGCGAAGCTAGAGCCTGATGTCATCAGCTACGGCGCTGGAATCAGCGCGTGCGAGAAGGGCGAGCAGTGGCAGCGGGCACTGTCGCTGCTCAGCAGGATGCAGGAGGTGAAGCTGAAGCCCAATGTCGTTTGCCACAACTCTGCAATCAGCGCGTGCGGGAAAAGCAAGCAGTGGCACCGTGCTCTTTCGCTTCTTAGCGAGATGCGGGAAGCGAGGCTGGAGCCGAATGCCATTAGCTACAATGCAGGGACCAGCGCGTGCGAGAAGGGCGATCAATGGGAGCGGGCCCTATCGCTGCTCACTGAGATGCGGAAGGTGAAGTTGGAGCCAACTGTCATCAGCTACAGTGCTGGAATCAGCGCGTGCGGAAAAGGCGAGCAGTGGCAACGGGCCCTGTCGCTGCTCAGCGAGATGCGTGAGGTGAAATTGGAACGCAGTGTGGTCGGCTACGTTGCTGGGATCAGCGCGTGCGCGACATGCAAACAGTGGCAGTGGGCCCTGTCGCTGCTCAGCGAGATACGGGTGGGGAAGCTGGAGCCGAACGTCATCTCTCTTACATGGCCAGTGGATCTGCGCGCGAGAAGGGTTCACAGGGTCTCGTGTGCACAAAATCGCCTCGTGTGCCACCACGGGGCCGAGTCGCTCAGGCCGGTCCCAGAGGCGCTCCAGAGGGCTTCCCAGACCGTCCAAGAGCGCTCCAAGACGGCCTCAGTGGGTCCCGAGACGGCCCGCGAGGGCCCGAAGCTTGCCGGGGCGGGCTCCACGACGATCCAAGAGGCCGCAAAGACGCCCCAGGAGGGCCCCGAGCGCACGCCAAAGAGGCACAAATCGTCGAATTCCGATGGGAAAACGTATATTTTCAGCATGCCCGCCTGGAGTGCTCCTCAGCGGCCCAGGACACGCCAAGAGGCCTCCCAAATCGCCCCAAGAAGACGCCAGCGGCCCCTACGAGGGCCCCAAGACGGCCCACAAGAGCCCCAAGGCGACGCCAGAGAGCCCTGAAACGGCCTCACAGAACCCCAACACGGCCCCAAGAGAGCTCCGAGGGGGCCCCAAGAGGCTCCCAAGACGGCCTCAGGCAGCCTCAAGAGAGCTCCAAGACGGTCCAAGGCCTCCCGGACGCCCCGTGACGGCCCGAAAAGGCCCCCAAACGTCCCAGAACGCTCCCAGAGCAGCCCATAAAAGCTTCAGAACGCAACGACCACCAAGCAGGCCCAGAGACGCCCACTAAAAGAGCGATCGGTGAAGTACAACGCTCTTCTCACCAAGGCTCCCAAGAGCGAGACGCAGCGTAGAGAGCTCTCCCAGGCACAGCTCCCAAGAGCGAGCGGTGACGTCGGGACACCCTTCCGACCTCTCACACAGGAGCACGCACGCACAGCACGCCAGCACAATAGATTTCCTGGGCTGTCCCCCGGAAGAGGCTCGGGGGGACAGCCCGGGAACGGCCCCAGAGGCGCCCCAAAAAACTTCAAGAGAAAAGGCCCCCAGGAGGCCGCAAGACGGCCTAAGAGGGCCTCAAGAGGCCCCTAGGAGGCCGCAAGACAGCCAACGAGGCCCCAACAGGCCCCCAGGAACTCGAAAAGAAACCCCGAGAGGCCCACGAACGGTTCCCAAGGAGACGGCAGCGCCCGCCATCAGGCTTCAAAGAGGCAACCGGAAAAAGTCACCAGAGCCCTCCGGGTGACTTTTGTTCAAGGCCCCAGGTGCTTTCAAAATTGACGAGCGGCGAGACGTACACCGCAGACCCACAGTCTGTGACGCTCTGAAGGCTGTCTCGGCGGAGGCAGAGCAGAAGGCGGACGAAGAGAAGGAAGCGATTCAAGAGGGCCTCCGAGACGACCCAAGACCGCTCGAAGACGCTCCAGACGAGCCGCGGCAAACGAAATCATTGATTCTTCTATGGTCTCTGAAAGATTGCCACCTTCTCGCCATTTTGAGCGAAGACAGGCCCAAGACGGCCTCTTCGAGCCAAAACTGGCCCAAGATGACGTGGACGAAGTCCACGGGTTCGCCCTAGTCTATACTATATGGCCGGAGGAACCGCGTGCCGGAAGGAAATCCAGCCAAATGACTAGAAATGGCTCCGAGACGCTCCGGAGGCCGCCCCGACGGCCCAAAGACGGCTTCGAGCCGCTCAAGATGCCCCGAAGGCGGCCCAAGAGGGCCCCGAGACGCGCAATGATCCGGCCAAGACGCCCAAGATTGGCCCAAGACGGCCCAAGAGCTCCCCAAGACGGCCCAATAGGCCTCCCAAGAGGCATCCCAGGAGAGGCCCGAGAGGCCAAAATCGTTGATTTTCATTGGTTTTCCCGAGGTTTTTTGCTTCCTCGCTTTTTCGGCTTCCCGACGCTCCGAAACCCTCCCAGAGGCATCCAAGACCGCTCCAAGACGGTCGAAGAGGTCCCCAAGAGGACCCCAAGACGGTCCAAGAGGAGCCCCAAGACGGTCCAAGGCGGCCCCAGGACGGCCCCAGAGGCGCCCAAGACAGGCCACCGGGACCCCAAGATGGCCCGAAGAGCGGCCCAAGATGGCTCCAAGACGGCCCGAGGACCGCCCAAGAAGGCCCTAGGGGGCCCCCAAGACAGCCCAAGGGGCGCGATAGACGGGCCCAGAGAGGCCCAAGAGGCCCCCAGGAGCCCAAAAGAGGTCCCCAAGAGGTGCCACGGGGCTTCAAAACTGCTTCGAAGCGAGGGGGGCGGACGAGGGGACCGCCTCATGAGGTTTTGGACGGTTTTGGGCCTCAAAATCATTGCTTTACGACGGTTTTGGAAGGAGGTCCCCAAGAGGACCCCAAGACGGTCCAAGAGAGCTCCAAGACGGTCCAAGGCGGCCCCAGGACGGCCCCAGAGGCGCCCAAGACAGGCCAACGGGACCCCAAGATGGCCCGAAGAGCGGCCCAAGATGGCTCCAAGACGGCCCGAGGACCGCCCAAGAAGGCCCTAGGGGGCCCCAAGACAGCCCAAGGGGCGCGATAGACGGGCCCAGAGAGGCCCAAGAGGCCCCCAGGAGCCCAAAAGAGGTCCCCAAGAGGTGCCACGGGGCTTAAAAACTGCTTCGAAGGAGGGGGGCGAGGCGAGGGGACCGCCTCAGGAGTTTTGGAATTTTTGATTTTCAAAATTTTCCCTTTACGACGGTTTTGGAAGGAGACCGTCCCCAAGAGGACCCCAAGACGGTCCAAGAGAGCCCCAAGACGGTCCAAGGCGGCCCCAGGACGGCCCCAGAGGCGCCCAAGACAGGCCAACGGGACCCCAAGATGGCCCGAAGAGCGGCCCAAGATGGCTCCAAGACGGCCCGAGGACCGCCCAAGAAGGCCCTAGGGGGCCCCAAGACAGCCCAAGGGGCGCGATAGACGGGCCCAGAGAGGCCCAAGAGGCCCCCAGGAGCCCAAAAGAGGTCCCCAAGAGGTGCCACGGGGCTTAAAAACTGCTTCGAAGCGAGGGGGGCGGACGAGGGGACCGCCTCAGGAGGTTTTGGACGGTTTTGGGCCTCAAAATCGTCCGCTTTACGACGGTTTTGGAAGGATTTTGGCCTTCTCGCCTTTTCCGCTTTCCGACGCTCGAAGACGGCCCAAGAGGCCTCCAAGAGCGCCCCAGAACGGCCCAAGAGGTTTCCAAGAGCGCCCCAAGACAGCCCAAGAGGGCCCCAAGACGACCCAAGAGACGCTCAAGACGGCCCACGAGGGCCCGAAGACAGGCCCAAGAGGGGGCCAAGAGGGGGACCACGGACCGAAAATCCGAGCCTTCCGCCCCAAGAGGGCGCCAGGAGGCCCAAACAGGCCCCCAAGAGGCCCCAAGGGGCCGTCAAGAATCCCCCGAAGAGGCCCCAGGAGGCTCCCAAGGAGCCCAAACGAGGCCCCTACAGAGGCCCCAACAGCTTCCACCAAAATGGCCCCGAAGAGGCCTCGAGCCCGCCTCCGAGCTTCCTCGCCGCGAGGGTGCCAACACGGCCCCAGACCGGCCCAGGACGGCCCAAGGCGCGCTCAAGACGGCCCAAGACGATTCCAAGACGGTCCCAGGAGGGTGCGCCCAGGACGGCCCAAGGACGCGCCCGTTCGGGGCCTCAAGACGGGCCAAGATGGCAAGAGAGCCCCAGCTGGCAAAAATCGTTAATTTTCCATTGTTTACTGTTACACCCTTTGCGTTTCCCGCCGTTTCGGCGGTCCGATGCACCAAGAGGCCCCAGAAAGTCCCAGGAGGGTCCGAGGAACCGCCCAGGAAGGCCCCAAGACGGGCCAAGACGGACCCAGCACAACCCAAGGCGCGCTGCGACGGCTCAAGACGGCTCCAAGACAGCCCCAAGAGGGTGCCAACACGGCCCCTGCTGGGCCCAGGACGGCCCAAGGAGGCGCACAGGAGGGGCCCAAGACGACTCCAAGGCGGCCCCCTCACGGTCCCAGACGGCTCCAAGACAGCCCCACGAGGACCCCGATGGGCCCAGGACGGCCTACGGACGCGCCCATGAGGGGCCCACGACGAACCAAGACGGCCCCATCAGGGCAAACGGCGCCCTCAAGACGGGCCTAGACGGCTCCAAGACGGCCCTTTGAGGGAGCCAACGCGGCCCCACACCCTTCGGGCGCACACTTGGGGGGGCTGGGAGCTTGCGACAAGTCTCCCACATTCATTGTCCTGCCCCATTCTGTTCGCCTGGAGGCCTCCTCCAACCCTGTGGGCGAACAAGAGGAATCCCAGCGGGACGCCAACCCTGGGGCCCGTGGGCCCCGCGCCGCTTGGGCAGAAGACGAACGCCGGGTCTGACAGGCCAGCTACCGCCCCCCTTTGCCCGATATGCTGTGCCATTCTGTTCCCCCAGGGGCCTTGGCAAACTCTTCGGGCCAAGCAGACCGGACCCCTGGGACAGCAGCCAATTGATATGACCCTGGGACCTCTCCGCATTCTTCGGACGAGCATCTGGGGGGCCCAGGAGATTCGGACAAGTCTTCCCCATTCCTTGCCCTGTCCCGTTCTGTTCGCCCGAAGGCCTCCACAGACCCTCTGGGCGAACAGAATGGGACATGGCGAACAAACCCTCCCGTTGGCGGTGATGCGACTGGATCGCACCATCAAGGCGCGCCCGGAGGTGATGGCCGACCCAACAGCGGTTTCTCTTAAGAGTTCACTGGATTTCAAATTTTCTTGAAGCTCTCTTGGGCCCTCCCTGTAGATCCTTGCGAGCCTCCCCGGCGCTTTCGGTGGCTTTCCCCGATGGCCTCCCGAGCCCTTCCCCGAGCGCTCCTGAGACGCCTCAGATGGGCTTCGACTTCGACGCACATCCCCGAGAGACTTCGAAACTGTCCTCAATAGGAGGGGGGTGAACGAGCAGTGCGCTGGGCCAAGCTGCTGCAGCGCTGCAAGAGCTCGGACACGAAGGCGCGGTCTCGCTGCCGCCGCCCGAGCCGCCGCCGTGTTTGTAGATTTTCGGTACAATCTGCGCCGTTCCTCCGAGAACCATTCCAGAAAGATGTCGTGGACGGAGTCCACGGGTCAGCCCTAGTCAGCTACAACGCTGGGATCAGCGCGTGCGAGAAGGGCGGGCAGTGGCAGCGGGCGCTGACGCTGCTGAGCGAGATGCGGGAGGCGAAGCTGGAGCCCGACGTCATCTCTCCTACATGGCCGGTGGAAGCGCGTGCGAGAAGCCCATGGCCTCAAGTGGACAAAATTGCCCCTTTACGGCGCCACCACGGGGCCGAATCGCTCAGGCCGGTCCCAGAGGCGCTCCAGAGGGCTTCCCAGACTGTCTAAGAGCGCTCCAAGACGGCCTCAGTGGGTCCCGAGACGGCCCACGAGGGCCCGAAGCCTTCCGGGGCGGGCTCCACGACGATCCAAGAGGCCGCAAAGACGCCCAAGAGGGCCCCGAGCGCACGCCAAAGAGGCACAAATCGTCGAATTCCGATGGGAAAACGTATATTTTCAGCATGCCCGCCTGGAGTGCTCCTCAGCGGCCAAGGAGACGCCAGCGGCCCCTACGAGGGCCCCAAGACGGCCCACAAGAGCCCCAAGGCGACGCCAGAGAGCCCTGAAACGGCCTCACAGAACCCCAACACGGCCCCAAGGGAGCTCCGAGGGGGCCCCAAGAGGCTCCCAAGACGGCCTCAGGCAGCCTCAAGAGAGCTCCAAGACGGTCCAAGGCCTCCCGGACGCGTGACGCAGGCCCAGAGACGCCCATTAAAAGAGCGATTGGTAAAGTACAAAGCTCTTCTCACCGAGGCTCCCAAGAGCGAGCCGCAGCGTAGAAAGCTCTCCCATGCACAGCTCCAGAGAGCGAGCCGTGACGTGACCAGCCCTTCACACAGGGGCTTTCAAAAGCGAAGGGCGCCATGAGCCATCTCGGGCCGATTCCTGAATCGCCCCTTTCGTTTCCGTGCCCGCGCAGGTCTCGCCGCTTGCTATGGACGTCGTCCTCAGGCCAGGTCTTCCCCCTTCTGAAGGCGCGACATCGACCCACCCCGGCTCATGAAGAAGGAGGGAGCGAGGAGGAACAAGACCAGGACAAGGACCCCCAGGGGGACTTGCTGGTCGTGGACGGAGTCCACGGGTTAGCCCTGGTCAGCTACAGCGCTGGGATTAGTGCGTGCGAGAAGGGCGAGCAATGGCAACGGGCCCTGTCGCTGCTTAGAGAGTTGGTTGAAGCGAAAATTGAGGCCAGCGAAATTAGCTACAGCGCTGGGATCAGCGCATGCGGGAGGTGCGAGCAATGGCAGCGGGCCTTGGCATTGCTCAGCGAGATGCTGGATGCGAAGGTTGAGCCCACCGTCTTCCATATTGCAATGCTGGGGGCTACTCGTGCGACCGATGCGCGAGAAGTGTCAGGCGGCTCCGGCTAGGTCCCCATTGTCGGCCCCAGAACGCCTGGCGCAGCTTCCCCAGGCCTCTCAGGAGGCGTCTAGCGTTATGTCGCCCCTGGCAAGCAAACTGGTGACTGGGCGTGGGATTTTCGAAGTATGCCAAAAGTGTGAAATCAACTGCTTCGTTGTGACAGTGGACAACAGCAAAGCGTCAGCACGAGTGCTAGACCGAGGCAAAAAGAAGGTATAAACAAGTATGAGGAACGTCTGGGTCTAATTTCGAAGCTCGTTCAAATTGCTTCTCCAAGTTTCTCAAAACTTCAAATTCTGGCGTATTTGTTCAAGCTTTCTCGAACTTCCAGACTTGGGCGAACTTTGTTCAAACTTGTTTCAACACTTTGTGGAACTTCCAAATCTGGGCGTACCTGTTCAAACGTTTTATTTCTTTCAAACTTTTCAAATATATTAATACAGTCGTACTTTTATTTACGTTTCGAAACTTGTAGTCAAGCTTTTTCCAAACTTCCAAGTATGTGCTAACCTTGTACAAACTTGTTTCAACAAGTTGTACTACTTCTGGATCTGGGCGTACTTGTTAAAACTCTTTACAACATTCCAAATTCGGGACTACTTCCTTCCTAACTTGTTTTGTGAACTTCGTTCAAATATTTCAAATGTCTTAATCCGGGCGTACTTTTTTCGAACGGTCCAAATAGTGTGTCAAGCTTGTTTCAATCTTCCAAGTCTGGGCGTACTTGATCAAGCTTGTTTCAACTTTCCAACCATGTTTCGCACGTTCTTCAAACTTCGCAACCTAGCAAATCCTAATTATCAAACTACCTGACTCGATCAAACTTCCAGACCTGGGCGCACTTGCTCCAAGACATCCAAACCGCGGCAAAGTCGCACTCACTCTTCTTCATAGCTATTCCAGACCCGAAACACGGAACAAGATTTCAACAGTTTGCCTGCTCCAGGGCGACACGCGCCCAGCGCCCCAGACGGGCCCAGACGACCCTGGACGGCCCGAGCTGGCGCCAATTCTCGCCCCAGGAGGCGCTCGCACGGCTGCGATAAGGGGTGTCTCCGAAAGACGAGGGAGGTCCAGCTCGTCCCCTCTCTCTTGCTCCCGTGTCTGTGCCTGCGCCGGTGTGGCTGTCGGCTTCCCACGGTTTCGAGGCGCGGCCCACGGTGCCGAATCTGTCAATCCACGGGCCCCCCGGAGCGCCAGAGACCCAGACATCCGACGTCTCGATTTTTTCGAGACACGGGCCCCAGACCTCCCGACCACTTCCCCAGGGCCAGTTTGTCGCCCCGAGTCGTCTTTTGACGGTCCCGAGGCCCGGCGAGGGCCCCGAGGGGCCGAAAACGACGAAAAGCCTCCGTCTCGATTTTTTCGAGACGCCCGATGCCTGGGAACGCTTCCCCCCCCCCCCCCGAAAACAAAAAAAATACACACGGGGCGCCGGGGCTTTCGCCTCCAGGAGGGCCCCACGGAGGGCTTCGAGACGGCACGGGGCCAGTCCAATGTTGCCCCGGGAAGCCCCCGGCGGCCGCCAGCCGCCGAGGCGGCCCCCCCGTCCAGCCAGGGCTGCCACGAGAGCGCGGAGTCCGTCGCTTGCGGTGTCACGGCTTCGCGGCCCGCGATTCGCGAGTCCTCCTCCTCGAGGGGGGCCAGATGCGAACCCTACCCCGGCCCCCCACGATTTCTGAGGGGGAGGGTGGGGTTCACACTTTGTTCGGGAGCTCCCGAGCGGATTGAACCCCACCCTCCCCCTCGGAAATCGTGGGGGGTAGGGGCAGGGTTCACATGTGGCCCCCTATCCTCGTCGTCCTCCTCCTCTCCTCCCAGGGGGGGGGGAGGGCAGCGCGAGAGCGCGGGCTTTGTTCGCGCGTCTCGCGGCGCGACGCGCGAACATAGCTGCCCTTGCTTCAGAGGCCCTAAGGTTAAGTCGCGCATGTCCCTCTACAGGAGGAGTATCCAAAAGATGCTTAGAAATACTATGGGGACGATTGTTCTACGATTCTTGACATGTTTTGCAATTGTTATGTTTGTTGACTATTTCTGAATTTTCTCACCAGAATCCGCCTGTAGGAGGACATGCCCGACCTACGCCTAAGGACGCTCACCATCTTTCCAGAAACCCGACGAGAGCGCCCCAAGAGAGTCCACCACACCGCCCCTCCGACGGCCACCAGAGATCGTTCCAGAGCACCCCATTTGGCGTAGGAGGCTGCAAGAGTTCCCCACGACGCCCCAAGGACGACCCAGGACAGGGCTCATTTCGATTCCTCCGATTCGATTGGATTCGATTTCAGAGCCTTCGATTTCGATTCGATTCAACTTCGGATTCCGATTTGGGCTCCGATTTCTCAACTATGGCCTACTAGCCTGCCGATTTCTGACGATTCGATGTTTCCCGATTTGGTTGCTGGTTTCCGCCGATCCAGTTTATTTCGATCGCCGACCCGACATCGATTCGATTCTGGTTTCTCTTGAGGACACGCCTTGATACATACCAAAAGCCAAAGCCAGCAGCAGCAGCAGCAGCAGCAGCAGCAGCAGCAGCCATGATCATCCATCAGCAGAAAGTGGCACGCAGCATCCATTCGTTACCAGTTCGCAGCAACAGCAGTGTCCCGTAAGACCAGCAACATGCACCAGCATCAATCAGCACCACACGTTCGACGGCTGCGAGCAGTTCCACGGGTACTCCCAGTGGCCCTGTAGCATGCTGCAGGGACCTCAGGCGCCCCAGGGCACCCGCATAAAGTCAAGGACGTTCCGGAAAGACCATAGGATATCCCACAATGCTAGGATACATCATTCGGCTGAGCTGTGTGAGATGATCAAGTCGCTTGCGGATTTGCTTTACGGTTGCATTGTAGTCAGCTACAGCGCTGGGATCAGCGCGTGCGAGAAAGGGAAGCAGTGGCAGCTGGCTCTGGCGCTGCTCAGCCAGATGCGGGAGTCTAGATTGGAGCCCAACGTCATCAGCTATAGCGCTGGGATTCGGGCGTGCGAGGTCAATGAGCTGTGGAACAAGGCTCTGGACCTGCTCGGCTCAATGTTGAGAGCCCGTGTGGACCCTGCAGCGGCCGATAGCCCAGACGAGGGCTTGTATGTGCACGACATCGAGGCAGGTGGCCCCAAAGACGTTTTGAAACACATCGTTCTCGTGGCTCTGCTGCAGCAGATTGTCGCGGGCGCAGATCCGTTCACTTTTATTGACATGCACGCCGCTTCTGGTGTGTACGACCTCGGTTCCGAGGAGTCGCTCCGATGCCGGATGTTTGAGAAGGGTGTGCTCCGGCTGTCACACGCAGCCGACCGCTGCGGCAAGGGTTTGGTTGCAGACTATCTGGCCGCGGTGTGGAGGTGCAACCAGGCTTTGGGTTCTTCCTCGCGCGCCCTGGGCTTCTACCCGGGGTCGCCTGCGCTGGCGTGGCAGTGGCTGAGGCCACAGGACACCGCCGTGCTCTTCGAGGCCGCCGCCGAGCCCTACGAGGCCCTCAGGCGGAGCTTCTCCTTACTGTGCCGCGGGTTAGATCGCCGCCTCGAGCTGCTGCACGACGACTCCTACCTGCGGGTCATCTTTGGGCCCTGGCCCTGGCCCAGCGGGCGGCAGCTGGTGCTCCTGGACCCGCCATACGATTCCATTCAGTCCCACAACACGTGGAACGTGTTCGTCCTCAGGCGCCTGCTCCAGAGGTCGCCCTCCAGCTGCGTTGCCCTGTGGTACCCGCTGGTGGACCCGGAGAAGATCGCGGGTCTTCACAGCCAGGTCCAGAGCCTTAGAGTCGGCAGCGTGCTCGTGGCCGAGATGTGGGTCGGGGGTTCGTGGCCGCGTGGCGATGCCCTGCAGGGATCGGGGGTGCTGGTGGTGAACCCGCCCCTTGCCGTCCACGCGCAACTCCTCGCGGAGCTGCCAGGGCTCCAGGGGGCGCTGCAGGCCACAGGTTCCCGGGTGTTGTGGCTGTGAGGCCTCTCGGCTGTCCAGACTATGGATACCGCGTTGTCGTCGTCGCTGCAACGTCGCCCCGCTTTCGACACCACTGTGACTTCTCCTGGGCTGTACGAGACGGAGTCCGCACATAAACCGTCACCTCGGCACCAGGGCCTGGTCGAGTACGTTAAGAGACAGCGTCCTGTTGTGGGCGTGGCCGCGCTTGTCTTCAGCCTTGGACGGCGTTCGGGGCTGGCTGCCAGAGCCAATGCATTATTGTGTTCAATGAGATGCTTCCGATGAACCAGGTTCGAGCATGGATCGCACAGCTGGTGGGCGGAGCTGTACCACGCAGTCGTGCATGTCAGACGGTTGCCGCCGGTGTACGTCACCACCTCTTGCAATCTTTCACAGCTGAGCCCAGCCTGGAGCTTCACCGTCGCGTGCTGGTGATGGCCAGGGACCTGCGCATCACCTCTCTTGCCAGGTGCCCCCGAGGACCGTCGCAGGGCCCCCGGGAACGAGCACCACGTGATCCTCCCGAGCGCGCTGGCTCGTGGATGGTGGGCCCTGGAGCCACACAAATGGTGCGTCCCGGAATGGCACCTGGTGGGCCTGTCTTCCACCACCACCACCGCCAGAAGTTGGAGGGGGAGGAGGAGGAGGGGGAGGAGGAGGAGGAGGAGGAGGACCGCCAGGAGGGGGAGGAGGTAGGAGGGGGAGGGGGGGGGAGGGGAGGAGGAGGGGGGGAGGAGGAGGGAGGAGGAGGAGGAGGAGGAGGAGGGGAGGAGGAGGAGGAGAGGAGGGATTGAGGAGGGAGGATTGAGGAGAGGAGGAGGGAGGAGGAGGAGGCGGAGGAGGAGGAGGCTTGTCGGAGATGAGGCGGAGGAGGTGGGGCGGGAGGAGGAGGAGTTGAGGAGGAGGAGGAAGACCCCCTCCCCCTCCAGCTCATGGTGATGGTGGTGGTGGAAAGCGTGCCCATCAACACCAGGTGGTCCCAAGCCGCTGCAGGTGAACTCCGCGCCGGCCCGCCCGAGAGAGCCGTGCGCCCCAGGCCCTCGGAGGAGGGTGCGCGTCTCCAGCCGCTCTGGGCGCGCCCTCCGTGCGCTCCCGCCCGCGGGTGGAGCAGGTCAGTGCGAACGTCCACACCTTGGTCCCGGGGGCGGCAGAGAGGGGGTGGTCACTAGGGTTAGGTCGGGCCTGCCCCCCTACAGGGGGTTTTCGACGAGAAAGAAGAGATGCCCCCCAAAAAATTCAAAAAATAATCCAAAAATAGTCTGGGGAGGATTTTTGGAGTATTTTTTCACCATTTTGGCATGTTAAAAAAAAAATGTTCGTCGCAAATCCGCCTGTAGGGGGACACGCCCGACTTAAGACTAGGGGGGGGGGATATCATGGCGTGGGCCATGGCTAGGGGAACAAGAAGTGGCATAAACGTAACAACTCGGAGGTCCGCGCGGATTTCTCGAATCGGCGCTGGGGCCCCCCCGTCAGCGCCTCCGGCGCCGCCCCTGGCGCGCTCCGCGCGCCAGGGAGGGAGGTCCAGCGCCGATCCGAGAAATCCGCGCGGACCTCCGAGTTTTTATATTTATGTGACTTCTTGTTCCCCTGATGATCGTTCCCCAGATTTCATGGCGCCTCTTCTCATTCCATTGCGTTCCTGGCCCCCCCGCTGGGCGCCGCGCACATGCCGCGGGTCATGGTTTGCACCACCCCCTCGTGGACACCCCCCTCTTGGCCGCTCCCGATGGGCTGCTACGGCGCCAAGCTCAGCGCGTGCGGGAGTGGCGAGCGGAGGTGGCATGTGCCGTCGCCGCTCATCGGCGTGCGGCTTGTGTGGGAGGCGAAGCTGGAGCCCGATGCCAGCCCTTTGTGGGCCCCGGAAACGGCAGGGCCGTTTTCTCACCGTTTCCCCAAAAAATGTCCCTTGAAAATGGAAACGGCAAGGAAACGGCGACCGGAAACGGCAAGAAAACGGCTCCAGGATTGGAACCGGAGCCAGAACCGGTCAAGAAACGGCGACGGAACCGGTAAAAAAACGGCGTCGGAACCAGCACAAAAACGGTAAAACGGAACCGGTAACAAAATACGGCCCTGTCGTTTGCAGGGCCCACTAAGTGCCAGCCGTACTGCCATACCAGCCGCAGCGCGCGCGAAAAGAGGCATAAGCAGTGCATGGCAGCGGCCTCGCCGTCGACCGATCCCCAGGAGCCCTCGGGAGCTCCCCAGAGAGCCGGAGGACGGCCCGAGCGGCCCGCAAGTGGCTCACGCGAGCCGTCCAGGAGGCTCCGAGGACTCACCATGCAGAGGCTCTCCGGACAGGGTCCACTTCGATCCGATCGATGCGACTCGATGCCCATTGCGGCCGGCCCGATCCGAGTTCGATCCGGGTACAGTGGGGGCGCGTGCCAAGAAACCAGTTGGATTTTGCCAGGGTGCCCTGGGTTTCTTGGATTTCGATGGGATCCCAATCAGATCTTGACGATTTGCGATCGACCCATGTGGATTTTCACTGAACAGATCGCGGATTTCAGGGTTGGGTTTCCTGCGGAGGTTTCTTGTGGCCGAGCCCCCACTGTATTCCGACGAATCGATGCTGCCCGATGCTTCTATGATGCTGGTGTTAGAGGAACGAGAAGTGACATAAACATAAAGACTCGGAGGTCCGCGCGGATTTCTCGGATCGGTGCTGGATCCCCCTCCCTGGCGCGAGGAGCGCGCCGCCGGGGGGGGGGGCCCAGCGCCGATCCGAGAAATCCGCGCGGACCTCAGAGTTTTTATGTTTATGTCTCTTTCTGCTCCCTTGGGTGCGCATCATGGCGCAGCCTGTCCGATTCGATGTCGGCTCCGGCACATTTCGATTCGATCCGATTCCCCGATTCGATGCTGACGGATCCCGCCCTGGAGGGGCCCAGGAGGCCCCAGAAAGGGCATATGTGGCCCCACGATGCCCCCAGCCTGTCCGCGGGGGACCCTCGAGAGACGAAAGTCGACAACATCTACATGTTTTCGTGTCCTCAACCTCCTCCTCCTCCTCCTCCTCCTCCTCCTCCTGCTCCCCCATCCCATGTCCTTCTAAGCCACTCCTCCCTGTCGCACCCCGCGACGTGTCGGTAGGGCAGGCTGGGCGTTTCGCTAGCGCCTTCCTCGCCGCTCATCATCCTGAAGCTCCGAATCTGCAACCGCTTCACGCACGGATGGCGGGCCGTTGTTTGAAGCTGGTTCTCGCCTTGGCGCCGCGCACTGTCGTTTCAAAAGTTGTGCAAGGGCTTGGCGGAAGGAAGGTGGTTCCGTTTCAACATGTGGCACGACTCGGGGTTTTGCAGGACGCAGCAGTGACCTTCATTGGCGGCGTTGAAGTCCTGGAATTGTGCTGTGGTACGCTTGAGGATTCTCAGACTCTTGTCTTCCAGCGGGGCACTTCCCGCAGTGAACAGACATTCTTGACAAGACCTGCGTACGGAGAGGGACCTTGGAGGGTGGGCTGATTGCAACATCGTCGACGCGTCTTGGGCTTGAAGTGGTCTTCCTTCTCCCGCTCGCAACGGTTTCCCACTTCTCAGCACAGCACGCTTCCACGGAATGTTTCACAAGGACCGATTTGCGATCACCCGGCCTAGCTATGCTGGTGGATTTGCTCCACGGGCACACCAGTCCAGTCCGCCACAGCGCCAGGGTCAGCGCGTGCAGAAACGGCAAACGGGTACACAATGTGTTGCCGCTGGCCAGCGATATGCGGGATGTGGAGGTGGAGCCCGACATAACTGCCACTCTCACAGGCCGCGAGGAGGGCGGGACTTGCCAGCAGCACGCGCCGTCGCTGTTCGGCAAGCTGCCGCGGGCGAAGACGGAGCCGCACGCTGCCGCAAGCGGCGTTGCAGCCCGATCAATCTCCGATCTGGTGGCTGGGGCGTTGGCGGTTGCGCTGGAGTGCAAAACCAATCCTTGGGCACGTTTTGCCTTCGACTGGAATCCTGACCGCCCGTTCGGCGACCGGGCCGGCCTTTCAAGCGCTGGTTGGAGACGACCGAGAAATTCATGATCTTCAAGAACTGAAGGCGCCGAGGCGCCCCCGCGCCGCCCGTCTCGGGACGGCCTCCGGGCCGATGGTGCGCGTCTTGTCTTGTCTTGTCTTGTAATGCAAAACCAGTCCGAATCATCAAGATGCCAAGTTGCAAGCCATCATTGTGTAATCCCAGATGGTGGCTCGCGGGGCGGGCGTCACCTGGGCGGAGCGCCTGCAGAGCCAGCCGGCCAACCACCACGCGCTCCGCGGAAGTGGTGGTCAGGCTTGTCTGGGTCGTCTCTATCTGCGCAGGCCTAGAGGTTGACATCAAAACCAATGTCGGCGGTGTACCTCTATCGAGGGAAGAAGTTCCTGATCTCGGCGATGGTGGTGATCTTCTGGCTTCCAGGGTGACCAACACATCACCACCAACCCCGACATCTAGGGCCACCTTCCCCCTGTGGAGGCACCCCCCGCGTGTTGGTGCTGGTGCTCGTCTCCAGGCCTCCGATATCTGCGCACGCCGGCAGCAAGCAATAGCCACCATCGCACTGACCACCAGCTCTCAGAGCCCCGAATCATCAGGGGTAACTCGGGTCAGGGATAACTCGGGTTCGTTTTTCCGGGAATCCGAACCCGAGTTACCCCGGACCCGAGTTACCCCGGATAACTCGGGCGCCCAGAGCCCCGAATCATCAGGGGTAACTCGGGTCAGGGCTAACTCGGGTTCGTTTTTTCGGGAATCCGAACCCGAGTTACCCCGGACCTGAGTTACCCCGGATAACTCGGGCGCCCAAAGGTCGCCCACTCCGAAGCCCGAGCCCTTTTGGTGGCCGAGGGCGCGTCCGGGGAGAAGCCCCCCGCGGGGCACCCCCCTTGCCTGCAGCGCTGCTCCGCGGCAGGCGGTCCTCCTCCCGCCACGGCCGGCGCCCGGGCGCCGCGGCAGCGGCTCCGGGCCCGCCGAGGCGGCCGCTGCGGCTGCGAGGGCACGGGGGCGCGTCCGGCGAGAAGACCCCCAGGGAAGGCAGGCCTGTCCGCGGCAGCAGGCTCTTGGACACTTTCGGTGGCCGCGGCCCGCTCGAAAAGCTTCGACAATGGGCGCCCGAGGCCCTGGCAACCTTATCGCGCATCCTCATGCCACGGGCCCGCTGTGCGTCTGCCAGTGCGCCGTCAGGGCGCGGCTTCCACCGTTCGCGCCAGCCTCTCCCGCTGTCAGCGGGGGCTGGGCGGGTGGCCGACGCTTCCGGGGCCTGGTGTTCGACAAGGGGCATCGACTGCAACATGGATGTGCCCCAGCATTGATTTCTCCATCGGGCCTGTGCCAAATGAATGCGCAGAATGTTCGTGAGTCTACGAGGGCGCCGCGCACTTCTCGTAGATTCGGCGGGCATTCCGATGCTGGAGTAGATCGGTTCTGTAGTCCATCACCTGCTCGAGGTGTGCCCGCCCCCCCCCGCTCTGGGCGCCGATGTTTCTTGGTGTGTTCTCTTCTTGTGCATGGCTCTTGCTGGCTTGCTCGCAGCGCAAGACGGTTCAGGAGGGGAAGCACACAGACACACACAGACAGACAGACAGACACACACGCACACACACACACACAAAGACACACACAGACACAAACACACACACAGACTATTCATCGTCGATTCCCAGGGCAGTATGGGAAATCGTGTGAAAGGGGGTGGGTGGGAGTCGAAACTCCAGAAAATATGAGCAACTATTGGGAATCCTGGGATGCGTGTAGGTATAAGCTACACGTATATATACATATGTCGATGTATGTATGTATGTATGTATGTATGTATGTATGTATGTATGTATGAATGTATGTATGTATGTATGTATGTATGTATGTATGTATGTATGTATGTATGTATGTATGTATGTATGTATGTATGTATGTATGTATGTATGTATGTATGTATGTATGTATGTATGTATATATATATATATATATATGCATTTATATATATATATATATATATATATGTATATATATATGTATATGTATGTATATGCGTGTGTGCCCCTGAGCCCCTTCAAAGAAGGGCGGGCTGGGCTTCCCCTCGCCCTAGGCAGCCACTTTGGCTCCGAGGCGCCCCCCCCCCGCCCGCGGCGCGGCCTCCCGTCGCGCTGGCGCGCGCGCGCGCGGCTGGGGCGCCAGAACCGGGGACCCCCGACGCCGTGATGCTGTGTTGCAGCGATGGCCCCCCAGGCCCAGACATCGGGCGTCTCGAACGAAATCGAGGCGGAGGTTTCTTTTTCGTTTTCTGCCTCTCGGGGCCCTCGCCAGGCCTCGGGACCGTCAAAAAAGGACTCGGGGTGAACAACCCGTCCCGGGAAAGAGGTCGGGAGGTCGGGGGGCCGTGTCTCGAAAGTATCGAGACGTCGGATGTCTGGGGAGGTCTCAACATTTTTCCTGGGACCAGCTTTTCACCTCCTCCTCCTCCTCCTCCTCCTCCTCCTCCTCCTCCTCTTCCTCCTCCACTTTCCTCCTCCTCCAATACCTCCTCCTCCTCCAATTTCTCCTCCCCCTTCCTCCTCCTCCTCCTCCTCCTCCTCCTCCTCCTCCTCAACTCCTCCTCCTCGTCCTCCTCCTCCTCCTCCTCCAACTCCTCCTCCAACGCCTCCTTCTCGACCCTCCTCCCTCCTCCTCCTCCCTCCTCCTCCTCCTCTCCCTCCTCCTCCCTCCTCCTCCTCCTCCTCCTCCTCCTCCTCCTCCCAACTCCTCCTCCAACGCCTCCTCCTCCTCTTCCTCCTCCTCCTCCTCTTCTCCTCACTCCTCCTCTCTTCCACAAACTCCTTCTCCTCCTTCTCCAACCTCCTCCTCCTCCTCCTCCTCCTCCTCCTCCTCTTCCTCCTCCTCCTCCTCCTCCTCTATCTTCTCCTCTGTCTCATCATCCTCCTCTTGGCATCACTCGGGCGTGTGCTTGTTTTGTCGGCGAGAATCATCGAGGAGTGGCCTGGATCATCTGGCGACAGATAAGTGCGCGAAACTGAAACATGCAAGGGGAATTGACGTCCGAGCGATTTGGAGTCCTCCTGCTGCTCCTCCTCCTCCTCCTCCTCCTCCTCCTCCTCCTCTTGGGCTGTTTAGTCCAGCCCGTTGTGGCGCCGATTATGGTATCATGTGGATTGTTGTCGGCCAGAAGCTAGTCGCAGCGAGTCATGGCAGGAGTGTCCTTGCCGACCAGTCCACGCGTCCCTCTGGATGCATGGCCATCTTGCTTGCTTGAGTTTTTCATCCCGAGTCGTTTTCTGGTGGTTCCCGCGCCCAGCAAGGGCCCCCCACTTGGGTCACCACGGGGGGGGGGGAGGGTTTCTAAGAAGAAGGTGGGTTGTAACTGGCCTCATCTAGCTCATAGGTGGGCTACAAGTGCCCTGAGCGGCTTAGGGCATAGGGGGGTGAGCATCTGGGCTAAGGGTCCCCATAAGCCACTTCATGTGTAACACATGTAGATGCAAGGTCAGGCCAGATGTACCCAGGCCCTGTATCCACTCGGAACCTCCCTCCCTGAGGTCCCACGCCAACGACAACATGAAACATCACAAGACGCATCACGACCGGAACACCAGACCCCAGCTTTCTGCGTCATGTTCTCGAGCCGGATCGATCTGGGGGGGTCCAGGCGCCCGAACAGAGGCAAAAACGCTCGGCTCGAAGAAATGAGACGCCAGGATCTCAGGGCCTATCCGCTTGGCCCCCCCCCCCCCCCGCGGCGATACAAGCAGAGCATCCCACCAAAGTAGCGACCACACCTCCCTCCTCCTCCTCCTCCTCCTCCACTCCTCCTCCCTCCTCCCCCTCCTCCCTCTCCTCCTCCTCCTCCTCCCTCCTCCTCCTCCTCCTTCCTCCCCCTCCCCCCTCCTCCTCCTCCTCCTCCTCCTCCTCCTCCCTCCTCCTCCTCCTCCTCCTCCCCCTCCTCCCCTCCTCCTCCTCCTCCTCCTCTCCTCCTCCTTCTCTCCTCCTCCTCCTCCTCCTCCCCCTCCTCCTACACCCTCCTCCTCCTCCTCCTCCCCCTCCACCTCCTCCTCCTCCTCCTCCTCCCCTCCTCCCCTCCTCCTCCTCCACCTCCTCCTCCTCCTCCTCCTCCTCCTCCCCCTCCTCCCCCTCTCCTCCTCCTCCTCCTCCTCCTCCTCCTCCTCTCCTCCTCCTCCCCTCGGGGCCGTCAAGCCATTGCTTGACGGCCCGAGGCCCGGCGAGGGCGCCCTGGGCCCCAACGCATGGCCACAAGCTCGGGCGTCGCGCAACGGGGGGCGGTGAATTGCGGGGGGGGGGGGGCGCAGCGAGGGCTACAGAGAAGGGGCCCTCCAGGGCCCCTGACAGGGACCCTTGAAGGCCCAAGAGGGGGCCTTCAGGGGCCCGAAGATGGCACCCTCCTGCCCCCCTCAGTGAACGCCCCCCCCCATCCATCGACGCCCCAGCGCCTTCCCAGGGACACCGCCCTGAAACAATCAAGACTCCGGACGTCTGAGAATGAACGAGAGGGGCGTTGCGAGAGCGAACGCCCAGTAGCCGCCGGCCCATCCAGCCCGCTTCGAGCCGGGCCTTCCCTTCCTCCTCCTCCTCCTCCTCCGCCTCCTCCTCCTCCTCCTCCGCCGCCTCCTCCTCCTCCTCCTCCTCCTCCTCCTCCTGAGCGACGCCCAACAGGCCCTGCGTTCGCGAGATTCTCCTCCCGGCGCGCGGGGGCCCCGGGCCCGTGGAGGGGGACAGCCCGCGGAGCCCGCTGCCGCGGGAGGGCGAAGGCTCGCCCGGCCGAGGGAGGGACGTCAGCCCGCTGGGCCGGCTGCCGTGGGAGGGCCTCGGCGGCGGGGGCGACGGCTCTCATCGCCGTCGTCGCCGTCGTCGTCGTCGCCGTCGTCGTCGTCGCCGTCGTCGCCGCCGCCGTCGTCGTCGTCGTCGTCGTCGTCGTCGTCGTCGTCGTCGTCGTCGTCGATGTTCGGACGAGGAGGGTGGGGAGGGCCCCCGGGGGGAAAGTTTCGGGTTCGAGGTTTGAGGTTTTTGGACGATCTCCTCGGTTCTCGGCGGTTTTCTAGCCTCGGGATGCTTGCCAGCAGCTGCGCCTCGCCGAGGGCGTTCTGGAGGTGCTTGGATCGTCCCGAACGGCCGCCGGAGACTTGGGTTATGACCCGAGAACTAAATTCATCGGCGAGCGAGGGGGGGAAGTGAGAAGGAGAGGGCCTTCTCAGAAGGCGGCGGGACCTCTCAGAAGCCCTCGCGGCCTTCTGAGGAGTTTGCTGCGTCTTCGGGGAAGGCTTACGTGAAACTTCTCAGGAGGCTGGGCCACTTCCGAGCCGTCTGAGGAGGCCCGCCTCTTCTCACTTCCCCCCGAGCTCGCCGCCTACCTCAGGGGCAACGCCGGGATGTTCGATGTTCGAGGCGCTCTGGCGGTTTCGCCCGTTCTCGGCGGCTCTCCAGCCTCGGCGTGCTCTCCAGCAGCTGCGCCTCGCCGAGGGCGTTCCGGAGAGCCGAGCTACGGCCCGAATTCTCTCAGGGGCACCGTTCCCAGACCCCCTCGGGTCGTGCAGCACTCGCGACGGACGGTTTTTGGCAGTTTCCGGCCTCGGGGGGCCCGGGGGCCCTTGCCGGGCCCACGGGCCGCCAAAGATCGACAGTCACGACGGACGGTTTTGGGCAGTTTTCGGCCTCGGGGAGGCCCTTGCCCGGCCCCTGGGCCGCCACACGGCTCGGGATGAGAGACTGGTCCCGGGGAAGGAGTCCAGACCTTGGGGGGTCCACGCCGTGAAAATGTCATGACGTCGGGAGTCGGGGTCAGTCGAGGGAAGATGTCGCGGGGTCCTGTCGACGCCGATCCGGGTTATGCTCCATGCCAGCCGTCGGCGATTCGCGAGGACGATCCGTGAGTTGACGGTGACAAAGATGGACGGTGGCCAAGATCGACACCGACGTCTCAGCGTTCAGTCCCGGTCACGGTCCCCGTGTTCGACCCCTGTGGTATGGGGGGGCAGGCTCGAGCCTGTCCCCCCAAGTCGCCCACTCATCGAGTGCGGACTCGTCATCGATGGGGCATCGCGGACTCGTCATCGATGGGGCATCGCCGATCTATCGGCGATGTGTCGCCAGTTCCAGGTCGATGCTTGCCCCCTTTCCTCCTCCCCCCTCCTTCTCCTCCTCCTCCTCCTCCTCCTCCTCCTCGTCCACCTCCTCCTCCTCCTCCTCCTCCTCCTCCTCCTCCTCCTCCCCCTCCTCCTCCTCCTCCCCCTCCTCCTCCTCCTCCTTCTCCTCCTACTCCTCCTACTCCTCCTCTCCTCCTCCTCCTCCTCCTCCTCCTCCTCCTCCTCCTCCCCCTCCTCCTCCGCCTCCTCCTCCTCCTCCTTCTCCTCCTCCTCCTCCTCCTCCACCTCCTCCTCCTCCTACCCTCTCCCCCTCACCCCTCACTCCTCCTCCCCTCCTCCCTCCCCCGAGCCAGTGCCTCCCCCCTGTCGTTGCTCATCAGGTTCTTCGCCGGGGCGGCTGCCATGGGAGGGCATGAGCGACGCCATCAGCCGCTGCTGCAGGGAGGAGCTCTCGCGCGAGGATCGCTGGGAAGCCAGAAAGGTCGGAGGAGCCAGACATCCAGAGATCCAACGCATTGAACCAATCAAGACGGAAGTTTGCCGCAGTTTTTGGCCTCTCGGGGCCTTCGCCGGGCCCCGGGACCGTCAAACAACGACTCAGGATGAAAACCGGTCCCGGGAAAGGGGTCGAGGCCTCGGGGGTCGACGTCATGAAGAAACCATGACGTCGGGAGTCTGAGACGCACCGTGGGGCACGGCAACTCCGCAGGACCCGACGGACTTGCACCTCGAACGAGCGGGGTCGGAGGAGAAGCAGACACAGTGGGGGCCCATGCCAAGAAACACCCTGCGTGCCTCCAGGGTGCCCTGGGTTTTTTTGGTTCCGATGGTTTTGCTGTGGACAGCGTGACGTTCCCACACCACAAAAATCCATGGACGTCCTGGGGTCTCGGGGTCGGGTTTCCTGTGGAAGGTTTTCCTTGTGGTCGGGCCCCCGCTGAACCGATGCTGTTGCCCATCGTGTAGGAGATCGACTATACATAAATGTCTTTTACTTCAGAAAATGGATGGTAGGTCGAATCCAAAACAAATGCGCATATGTTTAGGTCGGGCCTGTCCCTCTACAGGGGGAATATTCAAAAATAATATAAAAAAGTATGGGGACTATTCTTTGCATCTCTTAAGACCTTTTTGGGGTATGTTTTGGGTATTATTTGTTGTTCGTCGAAAATCCCCCTGTAAGGGAGACACGCCCGACTTAAGCACACCTGGATTCTGCAACCGATCTCCTGCTCGAGCCCCCTCCCCCCCGTCGCCACGGCCGCAGGCGCCCCGGAGTCCTCGCCAGCCCTCACAGTTTAAACATCGGTCCTGCTCTATACAGGAGGTATATCCCAAAATAGTCTAACAATAGTCTGGAGATCACTGTCTGAGTATTTCCCAGCCCTCCTTGGAAGGGTATTCGTTTTGAATCCAGGGGTGTGGTCGCGTCCTCCTCCTCCCGCCTCCCGCCTACTCCTGCCCTCTCTTCGCCGTGCCTGGGGGGCTGCGATCTGCGAAACCGTCGCCACTTTCGAGGGCTGCTGGTGGGTCCGTCTACAGGAAGTATATTCAAACATAGTCCAACAATAGTCTGGGGATCATTGCCTGAGCATTCTTTGATCATGTTTGAATATTTCCCAACCATCCTGTGGTGTTGGGTCCTCGCTTTGAACAGACAGCGCCCGCGTCCTTCCTCCCGCTGCCCCCCCCCCCTCTCCCCATCGTCAGCATCCCCATCATCAGCATCACCGTCACCATCATCATCGTCATTATCATCACCATCACCATCAGTTCGGCACACCCCTCACATGGTTCATGTCCCCATGGGGAGCCCCACCGAAGGTCCCAGTGGTTGCGTTCGCATGCGTCACCGCCTCACATTGCGGCACACCCCTCACACGTTTCATGGCCCCACATGGAGCTCGACCGAAGGCCCCAATGGCTGCGTTCGCATGCGCCCACCGCACCCGCTTCGGTACAATCCTCACACGCTTCGTGGCCTCATCGGGAGCTCAACCGAAGGCCCCAGTGGCTGCGTTCGCATGCGCCCTCCGCACCCAGTTCGGCACACCTCTCACACGATTCGTGGCCCCACAGGGAGCCCCACCGAAGGCCCCAGTGGCTGCGCTCACATGCGCCCGCCGCAACCATTACGGGACACCCCTCACACGTTGCGTGGCCGCACAAGGAGCCCCACGGAAGGCCCTTGCGGCTGCGTTCGCTTGCGCCCGCCGCACCCAGTTCGGCACACCTCTCACACGTTTCGTGGCCCCACAGGGAGCTCCACCGAACGCCCCTGTGGTTGCGTCCTCATGCGTCACCGCCACCCGTTACGGGGCACCCTTCACACGGTTCGGGGCCCCATAGGGAGCTCCACCGAAGACCCATTGGTTGCGTCCGCATGCGTCACCGCCACCCAGTACGGCACACCCCTCACACGGTTCGTGGCCCCACAGGGAGCTCCATTGAATGCCCCAGTGGCTGCGACCGCATGGGTCACCGCCACCCAGGACAGCGTTTCGCGGCCCCATAGGGAGCTCCACCGAGGACCCCAGTGGCAGTGTCCGCGTGCGTCACCGCCACCCAGGACAGCGCTTAATAGCCCCATATGGAGCCGAAGGCTCTAGTGGCAGTGTCCGCATGCGTCACCGCCACCCAGGACAGCGTTTCGTGGCCCCCCTGGGAGCTCCACAGATGGCTCCAGTGGCAGGGTCCGCGTGCGTCGTCGCCACCCAGGACAGCGCTTTGTGGCCCCATAGGGAGCTCCACCGAAGGCTCCAGTGTCAGGGTCCGCATGCGTCACCGACACCCAGGACAGCGCTTGATGGCCCCATAGGGAGCTCCACCGAAGGCTCCAGTGGCAGTGTCCGCAGGCGTCACCGCCACCCAAGACAGCGCTTCGTGGCCCCATAGGGAGCTCCACCGAAGGCTCCAGCCAGTGGCAGTGCCCGCATGCGTCACCGCCACCCAGGACAGCGTTTCGTGGCCCCATAGGGAGCTCCACCGAAGGCTCCAGAGGCAGTGCCCGCATGCGTCACCGCCACCCAGGACAGCGTTTCGTGGCCCCATAGGGAGCTCCACCGAAGGCTCTAGTGGCAGTGTCCGCAGGCGTCACCGCCACCCAGGACAGCGCTTTGTGGCCCCGTAGGGAGCTCCACCGAAGGCTCCAGTGGCAGGGTCCGCATGCGTCCACGCCACCGATTTCGGCGCACCCCTCGCACGCTTCGGCTCCCCATAGGGAGCTCCACCGAAAGCGGTACCCACAATGCGGCACTCGCAGCTACATATGGTTGGGTCCTTCGTCAGGCTAATGTTTGAGTATTTTTCATTTTTCGTCGAACATCCCCCTGTAGGCGGACTCGCCCGACTTAACTCAAAGTACGTCGGGTGCATAATGCGCCGACGGCGCGCCGGCGACGCCGGCGAAGGCGCTCCAGGCTGGACTCCGCAGGGTAGAACGACACGGACCCGGAGATCCAACGCATTGAACCAATCGAGACGGAAGATTCTCCCAGTCTTTGGCCCGTCGGGGCCCTCGCCGGGCCCCGGGACCGTCAAGAAGCGACGCAGGATGAAGAATCAGTGCTGGGGAAGGGGTCGAGATCTCTAGGGGTCGGCGTCATGGACAAATCATGACGTCGGGGGTCTGGGACGCACCGAGGGGCACGGCATCGCCGCAGGACCCGACGGACTTGCACCTTGAATGAGCGGGGTCGCGATCGCTTCAAGGATGAGTGGTCCACGCGGTGTCAAAAAACCTTCCTATCCTTGAGATCTGGCGGCTCGAAAAAGTTGAGACGAGAGAGCAATCACGACCAGAGCCTTAGACTAAAGTCGGGCATGCCCCTCTGCAGGAGGAGTATTCAAGAATAGTTAAGAAAATAGTGTGGGGACGATTTTTATATAATGTTTTGCTATTCGGGAATGCTTGTGAATATTTTCAATTTCTCGTCCCGAATCCGCCTTTAGGTGGACACGCCCGACCTAACCATAGACCATACCTTTTTTTATTCCCAACCCTCCTGCGTTGGGTTCTCGTTTTGAATAGAGCACTGCTCGCGCGTCTCCTTTCTTCCTTCCTTCCCGCCCCTCTCTTCCCCCCTGCCTTTTACCTCGCTCGTCGCTGCGTGCCAGCTGGGGGGCTGCGATCTGTGAAACTGTCGCCACTTTCGAAGGCTGCTGGGGGGCCCAGCACAGTGGGTACTCACCGCGGACTCAAATTAGACCTCGCCATCCCTGGGGGGCTGCGATCTGTGAAACTGTCGCCACTTTCGAAGGCTGCTGGGGGGCCCAGCACAGTGACGCCACACGCAGATTCAAGTTAGACCTCGCCATCCCTGGGGGGCTGCGATCTGTGAAACTGTCGCCACTTTCGAGGCCTGCTGGGGGACCCAGCACAGTGTCGCCACGCGCGGACCCAAATTAGACCTCGCCATCCCTGGGGGGCTGCGATCTGAGATCCCCGCCTTCGAAGTGGCTAGGGTTGCTCAGGGATTGTAACTAATCAGCTTTATCTAGTCCTTGTCCTGTAGCCAGTGTCCTGCGAGTGTCCCGAATTCCGTCTGCAGACATATGTAACCCTCGTTCCGTCATCGCCCCCTTTATAAAGTGTCCTAAACTATTTGCGCCCCGCGTTTGCGCAGGGGTTGGGTACGTCGCCAGGGTAATTTCAACACGCTGGATGTCTGGGCCTGATGCTCTTCGTGCCTGTTGGGTGTGCTTGTGCACCTTGGGGGCAGGGCGTCCTCGAGTCATCTTCTGGTCTGGGGTGTCTTGGCAGGCGGTCGTGCGGGCAATAGTTATACCCACATCCAGTGCGTCTTGGAGCTTTGGGCTCTCTCCTCCAGAAACCGGAGGCGCACTGGATGTGGATAAAAATCTTGCCCCAGAAGGCTCGATGTTTTCCCATATCCAGTGTGCCTCGGCCCTGCGGCACCCCTTCACAACAAGTCCACGACGCTCTGGATATTGATACAGGTAGTTCAGGAGGGGAAGAACACACAGACACAATGAATCGTCGATTCCCCGGAAAATATAAGAAAATGTGGGAAGTGGGGGGGGGGAGACAAAAACCCAGAAAAGATGGGAAAATGTGGGGAGTCTTTTTGTTTGTGTGTGTTTATCTGTGTGTCCCAGGGCCCCTTCGGTATTGCCCGCAGGTCCGCCTCGTGCTCTTGGACGTTCTTCCGCCCCGGGTCCGGCCGCGAGCGCAGAGGCCAGGATCTCAGGGCATCCGCGCGCGGGCGCCTCGCGGGCCCCCTGCTTGGGGCCCCGACAGGGGCCCTCGAGGGCTCCTCTCCTGCAGCCCTCGCTCCGCCCCCCCCCCCCGCCCATTCCTCGCCGCCCCTCCAACCCCCTCGAGGTATGGAAAAAATCGCGACAGGAGGTTTTTCAGTATTTTTTCCATTATTTAATCGCTTCGCTCATTCCGCCGGCCCTCGAGCGCTCTATGGGGCCTCTTTGAAGCCTCTTGGGGGCCTCTTTGGGGCCTCCTAGGGGCCTCTTGGGGGCCTCTTGGGGGTCTCTTGGGGCTCCTTGGCGGCGTCTTGGGCCCCCCTTGGGCCTCTTGGGGGGCTCTTGGGAGCCTCTTGGGGCGGGGTAGTCGAGTGCACCCCCCTCGGAGGCCACGATCCTCGTGATGGGTGTCGAAAAAAAGGCCCTCAAAACCATCTCTGAGTAGACCTGCTCGGGCTGCGGTCGGGATTCTTTTCGCCGGGAGACCCCAGGGGCCGCCCCGCGCGCGCGAACTAGAAATATTGTTAACCAGTTACCGGAGATCTTAGCACGCCTCTGGCCCGTTGGGCCGGCGAATTTTCGTGACAAAAATAAGCAAGGTTCTTTACTATTTTCGGCCCCTGGGGGCCCTCCCCGGGCCTCGGGACCGTAAGAGAACGACCCAGGATGCAAAACCGGTCCCGGGGCAGGGTTCCAGACCTCTGGGGTCGACGTCATGAGAAAATCATGACGTCGGGGGTCTGGGTTGCTCGTCCCCCCCCCCCTGGAGCGACGCAAGAAAACGGGGGCCCTCTGCGGCGTGAGCTGCCCGCGTGAGGTCGCGCGTATACGCGCCCTCGCCCCCAGTGTTGCGTGCCGCGCCGGCGGCCCGCGTGAGCCACCGCGTGAGGTCGCAGTGCCCTCTCGCGCAAGGCCCGCTGTTAGTCGTCGCTCACTTATCGCCCCCCCCCCAGTACAGTGGGCGCCCATGCCAAGAAACACCCTGCTTGCCTCCAGGAAAGCGCGACGCTCCCACACCAAAAATCAATGGACGTCCTGGGGTCTCGGGGTTGGGTTTCCTGTGGAAGGTCTCTTGTGGTCGGGCCCCTTCTGTAAGCGACGCCAGGCTCTCAGGGTTTCCGCGCGCCGACGCCTCACGAACCCCCTTGGGCTCTCCAAAAACTCCTCGAGGGGCCCTGAAAGGGCACCTTTTCTGCAGCCCTCGCTGCCCCCCAACTTATCGCCCCCCGGTGAGCGACATCCAACAGGCCCTCCGTCGCGAAGTTTTCGTCGCGGCGGCGCGGTTTCCGCGCGCCGACGCCTCGCGAACCCTTCTAGGCCCCAAAAGGCTCCTTGAAGGGCCCTGGGGGGCCTCTCTTCTGCAGCCCCCCAATTGTTCGCCCCGCCCGGTGAACGACGTCCAGCAAGCCTCACGTCGGGCCTGTCCCGCTACAGGGGGCATATTCAAACATAGCATTAATCAAATAGTATGGGGACGATCTTGTGATTCTTATTCAGCATTGTTGCTTATGTTTTGATTGTTCCGCAAGTAGGAGGAGACGGCCCACTTAAAACACGCCCTCCGTCGCGAAGCTTTCGTCGCGGCGGCGCGTCTTCCGCGCGCCCGACGCCCCATGAACCCGGCGCAACGGCATCGGCACCTCAGGGGTCGACCTGGACGGTGTTTTGGCGATCTCGTGGGCCGTTTTCGTTTCGCCTTCGTTTTGCAGCAAAGGCGGAACGAAGACAACACAAGGGGAACACGAAAACAATACGAAAACGAACAACACACCGTTCAGGTCGATCCCTGCGGCACCTCAGGGGTCGACCTGGACGGTCTTTTGGTGATCTTGTGGGTTGTTTTCGTTTCGCCTTCGTTTTGCAGCAAAGGCGCAGCGAAGACAACACGAGGGGAACACGACAACAAAACGAAAACGCAAAACACATCGTTCAGCACCTCCTCGCCCCCACCCAAGAGCGGGGCCTCAAGCCTCGGGCCTCGAGCCTCGAGCCTCGATCGATCTGATCCTCGATCCTCGAGCCTCGAGCCTCGATCGATCTGATCCTCGATCCTCCAGCCTCGAGCCTCGATCGGTCCGATCCTCGCTCCCCGAAGAGCTCAAAGCCCTCGAGCGGGGAGCTGCACTGCCCGGCCGCACCCGCGCGAGCCGAGGCAGGAGTTCGGGGACAGGATAAGCGAGCCAGTCAGTCCGCCAGCCCCCACGGGCTCCGCCTCCTGCAACATGCAGGCAGGACAGGTATTCCCTTGGAGCAGCGGCAAGGAAGGCAGTACCGTTCTCCTCCTCCTCCTCCATCTCCTCCTCCTCCTCCTCCTCCTCCTCCTCCTCCTCCTCCTCCTCCTCCTCCTCCATCTCTCCTCCCCCTCCTCCTCCTCGTCCTCCTCCTCCTCCTCCTCCTCCTCCTCCTCTCCTCCATCTCCTCCTCCCCCTCCTCCTCCACCCCTCCTCCTCTCCTCCTCCTCCTCCTCCTCCTCCTCCTCCTCCTCCTCCTCCTCCTCCTCCCTCCTCCTCCTCCTCCTCCACCCTCCTCCTTCTCCTCCTCCTCCTCTTCCCCTCCGCCTCCTCCTCCTCCTCCTCCTCCTCCTCCCCCTTCTCCTCCCCCTCCTCCTCCTTCTTCTCCCCTTCTCCACCCTCTTCCTCCTGTTCCTCCATCTCTCCTCCTCCTCCTCCGCCTCCTCCTCCGCCTCCTGTTCCTCCTCCTCCTCCTCCTTCTCCTCCTCGTCCTCCTCCTCCTCCTCCTCCTCCTCATCCCTCCCCCAGGGCCAGCCTTTCGGGGTTCATTTCGACTCCTGCGATTCGATTCGACTCGATTTCGATGTCTTCCGATTCCGACCCGATTCGGCTTGGGATTCCAATTTGGGCTCTGTTGTCTCAATGGAGGCCCAATAGCCTGCCGATTTCCGCCGACTCGACTTTTCTTGACTCGGCTGCCGATTTCCGCCGATCCGAGTCATGTCGATCGCCGGTCCGACTTATCGATTCGATTCTGGGATCTCCTGGCGTTCCGTCCCAGGCCGTTTTGATGACGGCCCTGGGGCGCGTCGAGGGCCAGCGGAGGCTGACAAATTGGCCGCTTCACTTTTGTTCGGAGCGTCGAAGCTCGAGCCTCGATCGAGGAGCTGTCCAGCAGCATCAGCGAGCTGCGGCAGGAGGTCCACTACCTCCTGAGCGACCGGCCTCCTCGATCCTCGAACCTCCACGTCGATCCGAGCCTCGATATCCTCGAACCTCCACGCCGATCCGAGCCTCGATCCTAGAACCTCCACGAAACGATCCTCGAACTCTTCGAGCCTCGGTCGAGGAGCTGCCCAGCAGCACCAGCGAGCTGTGCCTCCATGCCGACCCGAGATCATCGACCCTGGAACAGCTACCCGAAAAATCGTACCCAGTAGAAATCTGTCACTCTTTTGGAGCACCCTGTGACTACTTTTGAAGATCATCCCCCCTGCAGAGGGACTACGCCCCACTTGACGGTTTCCCCTCGAGGAGCTCGCCGGCAGCATCAGCGAGCTGCGCCAGGAGGTCAGACCCCCGACGTCGTGATTTTTTCATGACGTCGACCCCCAAAGGTCTGGACCCTTTCCCCGGGACCGGTTTTTCATCCTGAGTCGTTTTTTGACGCTCCCGCGGCCCGGTGAGGACCTCCGGAGGGCGAAAATAGCGAAAAACCTTCCGTCGTGATTTTTTCACGACGCGAGGGGGTCTGGGAGGTCCGCTACCTCCTCGGCGACCCGCCCGCGGCCCCGGCGCCTTTGGGCGCCCGGCGCGCGGGCACCGCGCCGGGGGGCCAGCCCCTGGCCGCCCGGGCGCTGCCCCGCCAGCGGACGCTGCCGGCGCTGGCGGAGAGCAGGCGGTGTCCGATATCTGGGACGCCCGAGGCCCAGACGTCGGGCGTCTCGAGAAGATCGAGGCGGAGGTTTTTCGTCGTTTTCGGCCTCTCGGGGCCCTCGCCGGGCCTCGGGGCCGTCAAAAAGCGACTCGGGGGCGACAAACCGGCCCTGGGGAAGTGGTCGGGAGGTCCGGGGCCCGTGTCTCGAAAAAATCGAGACGCCGGATGTCTGGGAGATGGGTACGGAAAGAACGGGTACAATGCCCAGCAGCATGTCTGGTTCAGTTTGGACAGGACTCGCTGTCCACGCCGCCGCGGCCTGTGTCCGTTCGAGAAAGAAGGCCGCCTGCCCAACAGCGGCCGCTGTTGGTTTTGGACAACATTTGCTGTTGGGCATAGTGCCCATTCTTTCCGTACCCATTTCGGGC